GGCACCAAACGTTGCGGAGATCCTTGCAGGGTTCTCCAAAAGCAGCTGGAGGGATGGACCTGGAAGCCTTTAGTTCTGGTTTGCCTGCTCCTGAGGCAGCTGGGGCTGGGTTAGGATTCCTCTGCGATAAAATCCCCCAAGAGTTATGCTTGTGTCCAGAAAAATGGAGGATTTTAATGTCTGTTGTTTCAATGCCTAAGGCTGGATTTGTCTCCTTGCTGGGCCCACGATGAGCTCTGGCTATGCAGCAGCATTCAACGGCTCCTAAGGACTACGAAAAATAAAACACCCAGTGGCCCTGGGTGGCTGGTAGTTGAAGTGGTTGTGGTTGACTGCAGAGGCAGAAGAGTTGGGTGGTGGCCTTGACCTCCCCCTGCAGAGAAGGGTGGTGCTGGACTGGTGACAGGAACGTTTTATGCTTTGCTGCTTCCAGTGATGGGCAGCAATTCCTGTGTGAAGAGACAGCCCCTCTGAAGGCTACGGGAGATGCACTGGAGGGAACTCAAATGACACCCCGAACCATCTAGGTCACCAACAACAGGAGATGGGCACCTCCAAGAGCTGCCTTGGCTCTAAAAGGGGGCCCCGAAGGGCAAATAAATAAGTCCCTGTCAGGAATGCAACAGTCACAGGGCCAGGAGACTGCTGCAATTAATTATAGGATCAATCCTGATGGCCAGGTGCCTGGAAGTCTTGATGGGAACTGCATGAGATTAGGCAATGATACCTAGGATGCATTATAACTGTCTTTGGGCTCACCCCCCTGGGCTGAACAGGACCGTACATGAATTTTCAGGCTGTTTGGCAAAGGACTTTGCTGACTCAGCTCAGGAACAGCCTTATCCAACTTTATTTGTGCAGGCTTGAAAAGCTCAGCCTGAAAAAAAATCACCTTATGGAGATATACCTTATCTTAATACCTGCAGATTAAGGAAGGAAACTTTTTTTCCAATCCCTGTTCCTCGTCTTTCCTGTCCCTCCCATAAAGGCTTTATCATACATCACACAGTTGCTTTATTAGAACTGTCAGATGAAAGGCACAAAGGCAGAGGGGAGAGAGATCTGGGGTGTCAGATCCCTATGATTTGATGTAAGAATATTTGATGACGTTATCAAAGAAGCCTCCAGAAACATGGGCTGATCCTTGCTGAGCTGGTGGTGGGTGGAATTTTGCTGGGGTAGGACTCCTGGGGGGGCCAGGACCTCTTTGTACCTGTTTCGGGGGATCCCGGAGGGTGACTAACACCCTTGGTGGCCTCAGTGTGCGGTTGCTAAATCAGTGAACGTTATTCTCTGACTGGGCTGCCTAGATAGTGGCTGGACCACGTGGACCACAAAGCTTCCTACTCGTACAAGGGCAAGTGCAGGAAGGGGACTGATTTGATTGTGGCTTGGGTGAGAGGAGAGCAGCAGCGAGCCGACAGACAGACAGGGAAACATCTGCGACAGAGTGCTGAGAAGAGCTGTGAGAAATGGTGTTTTCTGATAAGCTCCTGATGAAAAGGTGGGTGGGATTCTGAGAAAGGATCTTCTGCTGTCTGAATCCTTCCCCACTGTGGGACACAGATGACGTTGCCTTAAAAACAAACAGCATCACATTAGAAGAAAGAAGAACAGCACAATCTTTTTTGACTCCTGGGCTCAGAAGGAACATTCAACCAAAACCACAAATAAACTTGGCCAGATAATGAACAAAAGGTGAAATTTGACAAAGGATCAGGATCACAGAGATCAACTTTGCACGAGGTGCTGTGCTTTTTTTTTTTTTTTTTTTTTTTTTAACCTTTCACTGGCTGTTCATTAATTTGCTCTCTAGTCTAACACTGCCACCCTCCACTTCGGAGCCCAAGGAGCTGCAAACAACATCAGCTGCGGTAATGAGGTCTTACATCGATAGCAGACTCCAGAAAGTTTCCATTTCACTCCAAAACACTTTCAGGATTACAGCTTCATTTCCTCAGGGTAGCAAGACTTCAAACCGACCTAAGCTGCTTCAGAAGCTGGCTCTGTAGCCGAATGCTCCTTTCTGAAAACATTTTACTCCTTTCTGCCAGTTTTGTCCTAAGCCACGAGGGCTCTGTTGATCCAGAACAGCTCAGCTGGTGGACATACTCAAATTTTGGTACTTAGTGTAATTTGAATACTTGCCCATTTTCCGCCATTTTTGCTCATGGTGTGTATTGGATATTGGCCTTTGACTCTGTCGCCTAATAAAGCAACTGTGTGATGTATCATGACCAGCTGAAACCATCTCTTACAAAAATTAAGGATGCTAGTAAACAGATAATGGGCACATCCTTCGGCGTTAACCAGAAAACACTCATTCATCACAGTTTTGATTGCTGGGTAACACTTTATCATATAACCAGACGCTTTTCTGCTTCTTCCTTCCTTGCCAAGAACAAATTTGAATGCTACTTAGTTTATCCTCTACTCAGTCCTTACAGTTTAATATAAATTGATAACTAAATGTGTTCCAGCCCTTCCACGTCTGTGGAGACTGCTTCTCAAACAAGCCTTGAAAATATCGATCTCCCTTTGGAAAGTCAAGTCCCCTTTCTTGCAGTAACATTGGGGTTTGACCCGGTTATCAGCCACGCTACGAACAAATTGTCCTTGATTAAACCATCGAGGACCTATTAGGACTCATATGACTTGTATTTATTATACAACAGGCCTCACGTGGTGTGTGTCTCCAGCAGGGCTGAGAGGTGCCTTTCCTGAGACATGTGCCTGGATCGCAGCACTTCTCTAACAGCTGGGTGACCTTGCCCAGCCGTTTGCCGTCTCCTTCACATCCCTCTCCCCTCAGCACCCCGAGTGTGTCTCACCCGGCAACGCGGAGCTTTTCCCCGTCCCAACATAACCCTCACTGCAGGGATGCAGAAATACGGGTGGAAAAGCGGAGGCTGGCTTCGTGTGGGTGACAAGATGAGAGCTGCTTCTGTCTCATGCTGCTCAGGATCTCTCCTGCTCTGTGCGAGGAAGAGCTAATGCAGGCATTCAAGCAGGATTTGCTTTTACCTCTCGGTTCCAGCTATGCCGCCTGGGGAAAACGCCATTATATGAATTTTTGGCGCGTTGAGGAGGTCTATATGTGATGTCTTAGCCCACAGCTAAGCACTCCGTGTCCGTTATCTCCCCTCCTCTGTCCTCTCGCGCTTCCATCCGCTCTTATCCCCCGTCTCCACCTCCGCCACATCTTTACTGACACTTATCTCTCCACACTCGCTTTGCCCCCATCCCTTTACCCGTCAAGGATGCTTTAATTTAATTTTCATTTCTCATAGGGCTTGATTTACCAGGATTACGGCCAACAGAATTCCAAGACACCCAGAATGAGTGCCTGTAACGCCAGCTGCTACTCAGCCCGAGACAACCTGCGGGGAACAACGCGGCTTTGCAGGGGCTCTCCTTCCTCTCGGACCTCCACAAAACATGAACCATGGGAGGAGGCTGCCTGTGTGGGAGGCCCTGGCCGCAAGGCGCTGATGAGGTCATGACAAGGCAGAAACTGCTTCAAATCTCCCCATAAATCCAACCCAAACCCACAACGCCTGACTTTCAACCAGCTGCCTGCTCGGTACACGATGCTGAGCTTTGTTGCAATGCTGTTCTCCTTTCAACTCATGTCATAACAATTAATCTCGCCTAATCTTTGGCGTTGGCTCGATGGATTTCCATTTTTCTGAGTGAGCCAGCGAGGACAAAAGTTTTCATGTAGCAGCTGCCGCTCCAGGCGCATGTGGAGACTGAACCAATGTCCAGAAGAACCGCAGAGCTGCTCTCACCACTCCAAACCTCCACGGCCCTGATGGCAGCCAGGGCGATTAGGGGAACGTGTGCTCACTGGGAGAAGTGTTACTGGAAAGCAGTAATTAATTCACTAAGACTCAATTCTGGAGTTTTAGAAAGCAGGAATTCTTTATTACAGCGCTGGACACATAGGGGAGAGCTCCTTCTAATGTGTGTGTCTGAAAACAAAATCAACAGGCATTTATACTACCTTAATCATACATATTAATTGCATTTTTATCATATTTTTACCATATTCATAACTTTTCCAGAAACTCATTAGCATACGTTAGTATCTCTTGCGCATGCCTGTTGGAGTCTTCAGGGGGTCTTCAGATGAAGGCTCATAGTCTTCTTCACTGTGTCCACCAGTTGACCCTTATTTCTGTGCAAACTCAGCCCTGAGGTCATGTAGATCTTGTCCTTCCAGGCTGGCCTGGTGTGTTTTTTTTGCTAATTTGCAGCTTCCTTATCTTTATGTTTGTTTTCAGCTGCTGCTACAAGGCTGAACCGTCTCGAGCAAGGTGATTTACGAGTTCCTTATAGAGTTACCCCAACTATTCCCCAGTATATGGGTTTGGTCCCATCTGCAGCACAATGGTTAACTGGTTAAAACAGCTCAAACTGACCTTAATAATTCTATTCCACAAATATCTATTTTCTAATAATCTCAATTCGCAGGTATCAGAAGCAGCCCCACTGGGCTGGCAGGTAAAGCTGATAAATCTGTTGCTTGCATTGCTCAAGCTCCTGCTGGAGCCAGGCCATACTGAGGTTAATCGCTACGGTGTTGGAAGACTAGCGTTAGGATGCATCAACAGCACAAAATAAATTGGCAGACCGACAATTCTCCCAGGGAGGTATAAAATAAAAAACAAACTTCAATTAGCATCAATTACAAAGGAGGCTGCTGGGGGGTGGTACCAGAGGGCAGGCCCTGCGAGACACAAACGGGTAGGATGTAACGATTCAAGCAGGCCAGAGCTCGAGGAGAGATACACCGGCACATAAAGACGTAGTGTTTATTTTTAAAAATGCGTAATATTTATAAAATACAGCCTCTCCCGACGCGCACAGCGGCCCCACTGCTGGGGCACACAAGATGGCGGAGGTGGGATGTACCACCCCCCTCCTCCACCCCTCCGGGGAGGGGGAGTCGCACCGCCCCCCCCCGCCTCCGCTTCGCGATGGCACCGCCCACTTCCGCTGCCGCGCCGGAAGCCGGAAGCGCCGGGCGGAGGGAGGGTCCCGGTTGCGCGGCGGTGAGTCCCGGTAACGGCCTCCCCCCACCCCCGTTCCTCTCATTCCCCCTTCGTTATCGTCCCACCGCTACCCCCGGCCCCTCCGCTGGGTGATTGCACTCGTTACCCGCCGGGATCTCCGCGGGCGCGCAGAGGGGGTGGAAGCCTCGGCCGGGCCAGGCCTCGTCCCGGGAACCGCGGGGGAAGCCCCGGTTTCGCTTCCCCCCCGCCTTCCCCGCTGCGCCGTTCCCGCAGCCTAGGACTGTGCCCAGCCCCTCAGCCACCCTCCCGGCGGTTATTTGGACACTTCCCCTTGCCCGTGCAGCGGCGGGGATTGCCCTACCCATTTACTATTCCTACTTTTTTTTTTTTTCCCCGAAAACTTCACTAACAAAGACAACAACGAGTTTATTTCTGCTGGCTGGCTGAAATCACGCATGTCGTGAGGGAGCTTATTCCCCAGCTTTTAAGTGGTTGTTACTCAGCTCTGGCTGGATTTGGGGTCGAAAAGTTTGGTAAAACCCCAAACCTCCCCTTGTCGTTCCGCGTCAGGTGCCGAGGCTGATGCCAACGTCCCCAGAGCGACAGCGGTGGGATGTGTCACCCGGGTGAAAAGTAGAAAAGTCACCAACGATCAGAACAACGTTGAAATCCCCATCACCTCTTTGGTATGTCCCTTTCCCTCTCAGCTCCTGCACCCCTCCCCTCTTTTTTTAATGTATTCCACATTGTTGCATCCCGTATCTGAGGCACAAACACCTGATATTTGCAAAATCCTACCAAGCAGCCCGGATTATTTGGGATAAATTGTGGATATAGCACAGCAAATTCATTATTCCCTTGATTTTAGTAATAATCTCGCCGCTTTTTAAAGTCACAAGTGTTGCATCAAGCTCACCACACGTGAATAACACTGGCACTTAATGTTTTCTAAAGGCAGCAGCGGGACGCGACAGCCCCACATAGCTAAAAAGGAGGACACAGAGAAAGAAAACGCATCAAATAAAGCAGGAGCTGAGGAAGTGGGGGAGGTGGTGAGGTGTGGGAAGACCCAGGGTGGGGGGGGACCACTGGAGGGGGCACAGCCCCCCTGCTGCGGGAGGTTTGCTTGGCGGGACGGGGACGTGGAGTGGGATGGTGTGGGGAGAAGCCAGCTGGAGTATTGAGAGTTGGGGTGATGTCGCGCTGCTGTCGAGCGGCTGGGAGTGGGTGTTTTCTTCACAAAACCGTCTGGCACGCTCAAGTAATCCTTCCAAATAAGCTGTGAAAAGGGAAAAAGCCGGTTGCCAAAGCAGGGTTGAAGGGATATGTTCTGTTTCCTTTCTCCCTCAGCCTCGCTGATTTTTTTATAGGGGAACCTCCCTGGTGTGGCTGCCTCAAGCAGTTTAACAAAGCCGGTTTTCAATCCCTTGTAGGATTTAGCACCTATTAGAAAACCTCATTTTTATTTGATTTTCTTTCCCCGTCCGCAGCTCCAGCGGGAGGATGGACACCCTGAGGAACCGGACAGTGGAGGAGCTCCAGGAGCTGCAGGAAAACGCAGAAGAGATCGAGCGCCTGGCCCTGGAGTCCCAGGAGGTGCGTGTGGACAGCGTGATGCAGCCCGGGCTTCGGTAGCACCTCGCTTGCCCCCCGTCACCATCAGCATTTCCTCCCGCAGGTCCAGGAGCTGCAGCTGGAAAGGGAGATGGCCCTTGCCGCCAACCGCAGCCTGGCCGAGCAGAACCTGAAGTTCCAGGCGCCGCTGGAGACGGGGCGCGCCGACCTCTCGAACCGATACGAAGAGCTGCAGAAGCTGGCCGAGCGGTGCAAAGAGCAAAAGGCAAAACTGGGTGAGCATTTGCAAAGCTTGCACGCTTTCCGATGGAGTCACGTGGGCTGCAGTTAGTGCAACATCCTTCCCTTTTGCCTACCTGGGCCATACCGAGCAGAGAAATGTTCTAGGGTGGGGACAGAAGGGACTCTGCTGCTTATAAAATCTGTATTCTCTTGTTTCCTGGTCAAAGACAGACCAAGGATACTATCCCAGCAAAAAACCCTTCCAGGGCGGCAGTGGCTAAAGTTCTTTCCTCTTCACATTTTCTCCTTGCACCCACAGTTGCCAAGGCAGGAAGGCACTCCTGTGAGAGCGCAACGGGGCTGCGTGCTAGTGATTTTTTCCTGGTTTTGTGTTTTAACATTTTGCTCGGCTGCTCTGTTTCCTCAGAGAAATTTTCAGCCGCGATGCATCCTCAAACCTTGCTGGATCTCCTGCAGGTGGAAAGCCAGAAAATCGAAGAGGAGTCTGAGGTGAGCTTAAGGCTTAAATCCATTAGCAATTCAAGTGATTAGTCCCCAAAGACTTGTAATTATACTGCCAAACCTAATCCCTTAGAGCAAGGATTATCTGTTTGTGGGTTGGTGTTGCTTCAAAACATCGGATTGTCCTTTGGTTGCTTGTGTGTGGTGCGATGGTCACCTGTCTCTGAGAAAGGTGTAAATCCTCAGCTGGGCTTGGGGAAGGAGAGTAGAGGGATGTGGTGCTGAACCCGAGGCTGTCTCGTCTTCCAGAAAATGGCCGAGCAGTTCCTGGAGGGCGAGGTGCCTCTGGAGACATTTCTCGAGCAGTTTTCCCCGATGAGGAAGTTGGCCCACTTGCGCCGTGTCAGAGTGGAAAAGCTGCAGGAGATCCTGAGGAAGTTGGAAACGTCGCAGGAGCCCGGCAGGGACTCGCAGCAGCCGCCTCCTCCCCTACCTGCGCCCGCAGACCCGCCGAAGCCTCAGCCCTTCCCTTCAGGAGCTCCTTCCTTCCCTTTACCCTACAGCCCGGCCCCAAATATGCCGGTTGGCCCCACAGCCCACGGAGCTCTCCCTCCTGCTCCTTTCTCCGGCTCCCCGGTCACGGTGGGACACGTTGCTTCCTCCCAGCCGAGCACCCAGCCCGCCTTTCCCTATAAACCTCCTCCGGGTCCCAGTTACCCGCCCGTGCAGGCTGCCGACGCCGTGCCAGGGTACCCCAAACCCCCCTCGGGGAGCTCGGCTCCGGCGCCGGGCTATTCCTGGTCTCCATCCAGGGGTCCACCTCACCCCCCACCATTTTCTAGCGCTCACCCTTCTCCACCACCACCCAGACCCGGGTACCCTCCCTACTTCCCACCTGGAGCAGGGAGACCCCAGTGCCCCTACCCCACCCAACCCCCTCTCCCAACTTTCCCAATCCCCCCGCAGCCTCCCTATCCTCCTGGACCTCCCCAACCCTTTGGGTACCCCCCACCTCCAAACCCTCAACGCCCTGCTTGGCCTGGCTACTAAATCAGGACTCCTGGGGAGCGTCCTCTGCTGCTCCCTCCATTTTTTTTTTTGGGGGGGGGGGGTGTGTCGTTTTTTTTGTTTGTTTGTTTTTTTGTGGACTGAGGAAGCAGAGCATCGCCCCGTCGATGCGAAAGCATTACGCAGGATGAGACCGTAGCGGCTCCGCGGGTCGCAGATGTCGCACCGTCACCCTTTTCGCAGCTCTTCAAAAGACACAGCGGGAATCTCCGGCGGTATTTCCCGCGCAAAATACTCACTGCTTTCCAAGAAGACTCCCCGGAATGCAAGAGAAGCAGAGCCCAGCTCGGCTTGCAGGCGATTGGTAACTGGTTGTGGCGGGGAGAAGCAGCCCGGGCCTTGAGGTCTGTCTGTCTGTCTGTCTGTCTGTCTTTTATCCACCACAGGAGCCTTTCCAGCCTCTCGCCAAGGGCTCTGGTCGCTCCCCGGAGTTCAACGCGTGGATATTTTCTCTGCTTTTTGAAGTAAACCGGGCTATCACGACATCCCGGGCTGCTGCTTTCGGGGAGGGGGGCACATTTCTGGGGGGACTCGGTGCCTCCTGCCCATCTCAGCAGCCTCCTGTGTCCCTGGCCTCTCCTGCAGTGCCCGGGGCGAACAGGGTGGGGATTTTTTTGGGGGTGCTACAGGCTCCAGCCTTCCTCACGTCCCCCTTCTCAGGAAACACTAGATAACCGAGGGAGCGACAAGTTGACGTTAATGGAAATGGGATTTGCTTTGCTCAGCACTTTATCCTACGACTCCTGCCTGTGTCCCTTAAGTTATTTATAAGGAAAGATTCCTAATGGACTAGAACAAGGCAAATGCTTGTGGGGTTTGGTGGAAACAATTCCGTATCTGTGGTTAATTACAGTAATAAAACTTGATGAATTGCACGTGGGGTCGCGGCAGTGGTTGCTTGTGGAAATGATGGGGCATCCAGCTCACACTTTCTATTGATCTTTTTTATGCCCTCCTGGCAGCCTTACACCAACTTCCTCTTGATTTTTGTCAATAAAACCTTTCACCCTCTCGCAGGACCATCGTCTTCAAATTCATCTTTCCTGCTTTCTTGTTTTCATCTTTCCTAAGGGGCCCGTTTGCGTGGGGCTCTTCCGCATCAGCCTGTCTCTCCCCTCCTCCAGCACCGTCCCGCGTTTTCCCTCCCCAGCTGGGAAGTAGACGCTCTAAGGAACAGCACTGACAGCGTTGGAGGGAAGAGAACAAGACGTAATCATTAGAAAAAACCCGATTTTATTACAACAGTTACTGCTTATTAAATATCTCAGACTTGTTCTCAGTATTTCTGCCCTCCCCGTGCTCCTCACATCCCTGCTTTGCTTTGTACCTCAGCCCCGATCGCGCGCCAGCCCACGCAGACGCAGCCGAGCGGCTGTTTTGGCAGCTCCCCCGGGAAGCTGGCAGACACGGGTCTCGCAGGCGAAGCTCCGCACCACGGGTGCCTGGCAGAGGGCAGCCCATTTCTCTTTCAGCCTGGCCCCGGGCGGGAGGAGGAGTGCGGTTATCCCGGTTTTGAGAGACGGAGAAGCTGGCCAACCCCCCCCTCTCCGAACAGCCGTGAGCATGGCTGCTCTGCTCTCAGTGCCTGCTGCAATCCAGCTGCCTCTTAAGACTCGTACAAATAGCTTAAAAAAAAAACAAAAACAAAAACAACCCACCTCACGCTCTGCCATGGCTCAAAAGCAAGAGGAAGCTTTCTCAGAAAGGTGCTCGTGTACCGGGGTGCAGCCGAAGCTGAGCTAAGCTGGGGTAGAGCTGAGCTTAGTGCCCGCTATGAGCAGCTATGGAGGAGCACAGGCACGCTTGGCTCTGTGTCTGGCAGGGACTGGGGGGACCTGGCCCCCCCAAACCCCCCAGAGGTCTCACGTCATGCTGGGGTGGGGGTGGGGGAGGGATGCAGGTGGGTTTTCAAGGTGAGCAGCACAGGTCTTGCGTCACCTCTGTTCAGTTCATCATGGCGTAGAATCGCAAGAGGGTTTGGGTTGGAAGAAGGCTTTTCAAAAATCATCTCGCTCAACCCCACCTCCCGCCCCGGGCCTGGGCAGGAACGTCTTCCGCTCTCTCACGTTGCTCAAAATTTTACTTTTTTTGTGCTTCATCCCACCTCTGCCTGCAGGGTGGGAAGGTGGCTGACAACGGAAACGAGGGTGCTTGCCAAAAAAAGAAAAAAATGCAAGAAAAGCCGCTCATTCAGCAGTTGCTCAGCTTGGCTGCCACATGCCTGACCACCCTGGGACAGTGCTGGGTGACAGGCGGGGGGGGGGGACACACACACAACACACACACACGTGGATGGCTCGGCTGGGGACAAGGGAAGCCCACGGGGGTCCTGGTTCTGGCGAGAGGTGAGGCAAGGGGGGGTCACACTCTACGGGCAGAGTGCAGGTCGTAATCGCTGTCGGAGGAGTTGTCCGGAGGGTTGGAAGCTCTGCACGCACCTTCCAGGGCTGTGAAGGGTGGGGAAGGGGAATGGATGAGGCTTATTAACGGTGATTGGGGGGTGCACCCCCCAGCCCTGCCGCACCCCCTCGCCTCGCGGCAGCCAAAATCTTACCGCGATGCTCTTGCCCGAGCGGTTCATCCCCACCGGCGTGTGAGGGAAGGGAACACGGAGGAGCCGTTCCCGGCATCCTCCTGCCCTTACCTGGGTAAGCCGAGAGGTAGGAGCTCTTCTGGGGGGGCTGAGTGTAGTCGTTGTCCCCCCCTTGCACCCGCTGCCCCTCCGCCCGCGGCCTCAGGGTGACGGTGCTGTTGCGGTGGAAGGAAACTGGAAGGGATGGAGGGAGAGCAGTTGGGATCGGGGAGGGGGTTTGGGGTGGCGGCAGGGGGTTCGAGGCAACCCACCCACCCGGCTGCTTGGGAAGGGAAAGAAGTGTGTCGGGGGGGGGGGGTGGCTGAGTAAAAGCGGGACCCGCTCCCGTACCCCGAGCCGGAGCTCGGCTCTCCCGGCTGAGTTAATATCGCTCCGATGAGTCAACGCGGCGGCAGGAAGCGAGAGCCGGGGACGGGTCTGAGCCCGCTCACACCTCCGCTGCCTGCTGCGGTCCGGGGGCGAGCAGACACCCCCCCCCCCCCCCCCCCCCCCACACACACACCCCCGAGACACCCCAAACCCAGCCCCGCGCTGGGTGGGGGAGGTGCTCCTCACCAGTTTGGTTGAGTCCCGTGGGGCCGATCCACTGGCGCTGCTTCTTTTTGGAGACTGGGGGGGCAAAGGCAGGCGGGTGAGAGGGGGGATCTTCGCATCCTCCGGCTGTCTCCCCCCCACCCCCCCTCCCCCGCTGGCCCCATATGCCATTCTGAATAATCTCCCCCCCCCCCACCTTCCAGTAATCCCTCCCCCCTTCCAGTAATCCCCCCACCGCCCTGCGGGACCCTCCGCCTGCTCTTTTGTATCCACTCGGTGCCTAATCCCCAGCGCAGCCTGCAAAGGCTCACCCCATCGCACACACCCCCCCGTGCCCACACATGTGGGACAGGCTTGGGGACGATGGGGCGGGGGGGGGGGGGTGTCATCTCCCAATTCCCCCACCCCACGAAGGAAATGATGGGGAAACAACAGGGATGGCTGCACAGAGCTGGCAGCCCTGAGCTGCCGCGTGGTGACGGCCGAGCGGGAGGAGGAAGAGGAGGAGGAGAGGCTCGGGAGCTCATCACCTACTTTTCTTCATCAGCCTCCTGTAGGCAGGAGGGCCGCAGATGAGCAAGAGGATGGCGAAGAGAAGCAGGGCCAGGCAGATGCTCACGATGGTGCCCGCCGCCGTGCCGGTGGGATGTGGCTTCGAGTCCTGGCCTGGGGAGAGGACGGGTGTCAGCGAATGGGACCCTTGTCCCCATGGGGAACACCCACCGCCCTGCCAAGAGGGCTGCAGGGAGCCCTGGAAAGGCTTTCCTCATCTCCCTGCCCCGAGCTCGCACGCTCTGCCCATTCCCCAAGGGGTTCACGCAGGGAAATCCCAGCTCCCCGCATCAGCCAGGGATGCCCGGCACTGGGTGCTACCCCCCAATTCCCCCCAGGGATTGAGCCCGACTGCTTACACACGATTCTGATCCTGGAGCACATCCGGGGCACCCCGAGGTTGTTGGAGCAGTGGCGCAAGTTGGAGGTCCCGCAGGTGACACCTCCTGAGGTGGGGTCCTGGATCCGGGTGCTGGAGGAGAGGTTCCCACAGCGCAGCTCTTGGCACAGCTGCCTGCCCCACTCAGCTCGCTGCACCTTGTTGTCACACAGCACCTGCCACCGTCCCTTGTGAAAGACCTCGATGTCCCCTTCGCAAGGCGTGGGGCCGGCCGCCAGCCTCCGCAGGGCCTGCGGCTGCGAGCCTTGGCGGAGGAAAAGGGGTCAGACCCAGGGGGAGACATCACAGATGGGGCTCAGCATCCCACTGGCACACACTCCTCCCACTGGGACCAGTTCACGGCGTCTTGGCTTCCCCCTTGCACCGCGGGGACTGGGGGAACACACGCGAGCCGTACCGGGGCCGTGTGGCGAGGATTTTTGAGCTGTTCCCGTGGGATGTGCAGCGGGGAAGCCCGTTCTGCCAGCTGCCGCGGTGCAGCTCGGTTAAATCCCCACACCCCCCCACACTAAATCCCACTGGTGGGCTTCCGAGCTCGGGCAGATGGCAGGACCCGGAGGGAAAACCCTCCTCACCCCGTGGCTTAGCTCTCCGTGCCGCGGCGCCGGCACCAAGCCACTCCGCAGCGAGATGCTGCTGGTGGCAAAGGGACACGCTGGTGACAAGCACCAAGGGTGCTGGGCTTTGCTGGGATACCCCATGGTGGGTTTTTGGGGTGCTAACGTGGCGCCACTCTCACTACCCGGCTTTTCCTACTCGCAAGGCTGCTGCATTCGAAGCCCAGGGTTGGGGGTGCTGCTGCCAGGAACCGAGCGCGCCGGGGAGATTTCCTGTTTTGCCTTCGCACGCAGGAGAGGAAGAGCAGGAGTGGGTGGATGGGGTGTGTGGGGCAGTTGGGGATGGGGCCGTTGCTTTGCTCCAGGCTTCAAACCACCCAACCAAAAGCAGCCCAAGGAGCTGAGGGACAACCCAGCCGGTCTGCTGGGGCAAGCGAGGGGTGCGGGGAGGAGTGGGGCCGTGCCGGGGTGAGCTCTCACCCGAGCAGATGATGAAGGCAGGCACCTTCCCCTGCCAGGAGCTGGTCCTGTTGAAGCAGTCAAAGAGCTGACGGTCCTTGCAGGGCTCCACCACCTCCCACCGCACCGGCAAGTGGCTTTTCTGCTCCGGCTTGGCATGGCCGTGGTCGTTGATGGCGTTGCCGCAGTGGAGAGCCTGGCAGATGCGGGGGGCCAGCTCTGGCCAGTTGCCGAGGCTGTCTCCCACAGCCCCCCACAACCCCTGCCTGTGCAGCTCCACGAAACCCGAGCAGCCAAAGTCCCCATCCACCAGCTGCAGCCTGGCGGGTCCTGGTGAAAAACGGGGCGGAAGAAACACCTCGTTACAGACCAGGACAATATTTCTTCCCATTATTGAGCAAAAAGTCCCCAAGCCCGCCATAGCTGGAGTTTAATTTTGCCCTGTCGATGCTGCAAACGTTATTAATGAGAACAGGTGATCTCCCAAAGCTGGGGGGCGGTTTGCTTTGCTGTGTGTACCCCTCAATTTGGCCGTTGCCGCTCTGCTCCCCTCTGGGCAGGGATGGGGTTCTTACCGGTGGGCTCCGGGGTGGTAACCGGCGGTGTCGGTCGGGGCTCAGGGGTGGTTTTCACCAGCTCTGAAACAAGAAGAAAGGCAGCCAGGTTGGGGTGGCCGGTCCCTAGGGATGGGGTTGGGGGGGGGGGGGGTACACGGGGTGTGTGGGGGGACGGTCTGTGCTCACCGCTGCAGGCGAGGACAGCATGCTCGGTGCAGTTTGCCAGCACGTAGTGGCACTGCGTCAGGGAGGCCGCTGTCCCCAGGCACTGCAGCGCGCGTGGCTCCTTCCCGCCGGTGAAGATGACCCGGGGGTGCTCGGTGACGGGGGGGCCACAACCCAGCTGCTGGCAGATGCCACCCAAGCCAACCTTGCTCACGCTCTCCCGGCACACGCGGTTCCACTTTCTCTCCCACATCACCTCCAGCATCCCGGCGCAGCGGCAGCCACCGTGGGTGAGCCGTAAGCTGGGCTCTGCAGGGAAAACACGGGCGTTTTGGGGTTTTCCTTCCCTTTTCAGCGCATTTTTCCACCACCCAAGGCTGGAAAAAGCCCTTTGCTGGCACGTCGCCGCAGCCCAGCGTGCTGCTCGGCACCGGCGTGCCCGAGCTTCTTGTAAAGTGGGGCAGGAAGGAAACGGAGCGTTGTGGGGTGCACGGCCGAGTGGAGAGGGTTTGGGGGAGCAGGGGTGCTGTGGGGCTGAGCGGGCAGAGCTGGCCGAGGCAGCTCCGGCAGCCGTCACGTTAACGAAGCCGCGGCCGAGGAGCTGCTAATGAAGCCACGGCACTGCACCCCCCTGCACTCTCACCTCCAGGTCTCAGGGTGGCTTCTCCGTGGCCGGGGATGGCTGCAAGAAAAAGGGGGACAGGGAATCAGTCCTGCCCCTCACCCCAGAGAAAGTCGAGAACCCCCAGTTTGGGGCAGCGGCTCCCAGCTCTTGGCCTATCGCTGGTTATTTTGGGGGAGAAACGTGATTCTGGGGGCTCAGGTCAGTTTTTCGCCAGGGTAAAGATGCTGCTGGTGGAAAGGAGCTGGTGATGGCGGCCGGTTGTCTCATGCTCCGCGCCAAGCTGTAATGTTGGGAGGACACCTCTGTCCCCAAAGCTCAGCGGTGGGTGGCCACATGCCCCCCACCCCGGCACTGGGGGCTGGAGGAGGAGGCTGGCTCATGTTGTTTTTTATTTCCCTTGGGAATAGAAGAGCATTTTTGGGTTTTCTCAGTGAATTTGCTCTCCCTCCTCCTCCTCCTCACACCTTTAATTAAAATAAATAAATACAAATGACTTCACGCAACTGGCCATAGCACTGCTTGCCGGGCTGCCCATCCATCTGCTGGTGGATGATTATGAAAGACAACGGGCAAGGGCACCTGCTAATTACCGCTAACTAGCTCGCATCGCTACTTGTGGGCCAAGCAGCAGTGGATGGTGGCACCATCACCACAGTGAGCCGGAGCCTGCGGCCGCCCACTGTGCCATGTGGACCAAGGGGCAACCAGGGACGGTTGGACCTGGCAGGGAACGAGGGTGGGGGGACGGCTGGCTTCCCCCCAGCACCCATAAATTCACTCCTGGGGTGCGATGAACATCTCGGGGACCCCCAGAGATGGGGGGGACTGGGCACATGTGGCTCCGGTGAGGCATGCCCATGTTTTAGTGTGGGCTCGGCAGCCCCGCTGATGGCCACTAGCCCCTCTCCCCTGCCTGGCCTGAACCTCCCCCCCCAAGCTTGGGGCTTGCCCAGGGTGGGCACACCATGAGTGAGCTGAGATGGGAGCATCAGTGACCCCCCCCCCCCAGCCGAAGACACAGGATTGAGCCCCCCGAAAATGTGCCGGGCTGCCTTGGGGGGGGGTGTTTACCGTGGGATTTCAGGGGGCCCAGGCTATGGCGAAGCTGGGTCCCCCTGGTCACCCCCAGCACCGGAGCTGTCAGCGCACTTGCACAAAGCAACCCTGGCCCCAGCATCCCCCCAGAGCCCTCCACCGTGCTGAGACACCCCCCCCCTCCTCCAACTGTACTCACCCCACATCCCTGCCAAGAGCAGCAGGCGCAGGGGGAGCAGGCGGGCTGCCATGGGCACGGCCAGCCGCCTCCGCTGCCGCGGGCTGAGCCAGAGGCTGCCGGGGGGGGACGGCCGCCTCTGCTACCCGGCCTGGGGAAGGCAAGTGAGGCAGCCGGGGGGGGGGGGGGGGGGGGGGAGGACAGGCAGGAACAGGCTGTTTTTCCTCCCTCTGTGGTTTTCTGCGTCACATCTACGCTCGTTTGAAGTCTCAACCTGGCAGCTGCCTCCCCAGGTCCCACTGAGCACGAGAGCAAAGGGGAGAGAAACCTAAAAGGGGGGGGGGGGGGCTCAGCCCTCACTGCATCCCCCATCCTGGGGTCCCTCCTCATCACCCCTTACCTCTGTAGAGGGTGTGAGCGCGGAGGGACGGTGAACATACCTGGTGCTGGGGGGACCCCAGCTCTCCGCTGGGTCCCCACAAATGTGCCGGTGGCTGGAAGGCAGCGTGGCCAAGCGAGAGCAACCAGACCTGGGGTGGGGTGGGGGGGGCACAAGCCACAGTGGTGGGAATCGGGGGTTTTGAGTGGTTGGAGCTGGCAGCATTCAGAGGGGAAAATCCCAACCCCGGCAGCACCTCCCTGGTGCCGGTGAACTGTTTGGGATTTGGATTGCAGCGGGAAAACTGGTGACAGCCACTGAAGCAAAGAGCCCAAGCTCCCACGAGGGTCGGATGCCACCCTCTCTGCTGCGGGGAGACCTGCGGCCGCTCTTACGTAACACCAGCCCCTGCCAAAAATAGCTTCCCCTTGCCGGCGGCTGCTTCCCTCCTCTTCCTCCCCGACCTCGCCAGCTCGTTTCGCCTCTGCCCCGGCTGCACCGCCTGCGGTCACTGGTCGAGGCTGCCAGCTCCTGCAAAGGAGCTGATGCACATCACACCACGCCACGCCACGCCACGCACCATGGCAGCACCCAAAACACCATGAAGGCCCCCCCAAGAAGGGTTCACCCGGGGCACATCCCCGCTTACTGGCACCCCAGGGGACACCCTCTATCCCTGCAAGGGCACATGGGGGCACAGGCAGTGATGGACTGGGGAAGGGAGAGGCATTAATTGATTGTGCCCTAATTAATTCCTCCAAATCCAGGTCATGCATGCTAACGAAGGCAGCTGTTTTCCATTGACCCGGTGGCATTTCTGCTGAAAGGAGAGTGCCTGGGGGGATGGTGCTGGGAGGACTGGGCTTTCTGGGCGAGAAGCTCCTGTCCCCTCCCGCTGCCACCACCCTGGGCTGCTGCCTGGGGATGCTCCACTCCTCATCCCCGGAGCAGGACCTTGACTCCGCTGGAAGTTTTCTACCCCCAAACTCTCTCCGGGTTGAAGAGTTTTTGGTTTGTTTTTTTTTTTTTTTTCCATGACTCAAGAGGAAGCTCGCCGGGGTGCAGCGGGCAGCCGTGGGCTGCCAGGCACGGGCAGGGCTGGGCAGTGATGCTTGGGGAGGTCGGGCAGAGATGCCAGGCGATGCCAGCAGCACGAGCACACTGTCCCCCACCCAGGCCCCAGCATCCCTGGAGGTAACTGAGCTCAGCAATCCCCCCACCTCCCCCGCTCCTTTAGCTTCTTGCAGCCCTCCCAAATCCCCTTGACCAGGCAGAGCAGAGCCACTGCCTGCGCTGGGCAGTGCTCCCTGCTTGTTCCCAGCCCCTCCCAGTCATTTTTTGGGGGTCCTGCTGACTCCCAAGACCCAGCTGGGGATGTGATGGGAGGAAGCTCTGTTGGGGAGACTCACGGGGTCCTGGTGCTGCCCTCCACCCGCCCCCTGGCTCTGGGCTGGCGCGGTTTTGGCAATGCCCCGGGAAAGGGGTGCAAGTCCCAGACCTGCTGGTGGGCCCACCCTTCCCATGGGACTCAGCCGGGGGTCCGCAGGCTGGGAGCCAAACCCCTTGCACCCCAAATCGTCCCGAGGTCAGCGATTCACCCTGAGCACCCCGGGATGCATCGCCTCTAGGAAAGGTCCATCTCCCCCTTGTTATCTCAGGGTGCCTGACCCCCCTTGGGCTTGGGGTGCTTGGGGTCCAGATCTCCCCTCCTCTGGAGGCCCCGAGGTGCCATGGGCAGGATTTGTGCCGCAGTTCGGTCAGAGCATCCTTGCTTGCTGCCGGCGATGCGAGTCAGCTCCTGTGACAGATAAGGACGATTATCATTTTTTTTGCGGTGGGGCTGGGGCAGGGTGGAAACGTTGGGACATGCTGACGTGCTGCCTGCCCGGGGAGAAACCTTTGAAGAGGCGAGAGCTGCCTTTTGGTGCGAGCAGGAACGGGCTTGTCGGCTGTCAGCACGCTGCTGCCAGTCCGATGACGGTGGAAATGGCATTTCCCAGCACCTGTCATCGCATGCGGGAGCAGCTTGAATAAACGCTCTGGTGCTGATGGGCCCCGTCCTGTGGCCGGAGGTGACATCCAGACCCTTTGCCCCGACGGGAATTGGGTTATCCCCCCTCCTTGAGGCATCGGTACCCCCCTGAGGCATCGGTATCCCCCCCGCCCCCCGCCAAGCAGTCCTAACAACCATCCTTGCAAAAGCACCATCATCATCCCACCCCAGCCTCGCCACCCTGGCCTGGGGAGCCACGAGTGTGGCTGGGGGCACTCCCTGTCCCCACCCCTGGACCCGCTCCTCTCCCCACTCTGCTCGCAGCAGCCCGTCCTTGCTCTCACCTCCCTCCTCTCCCCTTTGTCTGGGGCTTTTGTTGCTATTTTGGTGCTTCCTCCGTTGTTGTGGCGTGGCCCCTTTTGTTCGGGGCCGCCGCCGGAGCCTCTCGCCTCGGTAAACAGCTGGAGGATGTGGCAGGGGGGACCAAATTTTCCACGGGGGTAGGTCTGAACCCCAACCTCCGCCGAGGCTCCGCCTCGGGGAGATGGAAACCTGCCAGCGGGTGCCGGGGTGGGAGACGCGCCGCGGGATATGGTTCGCTGGCGGAAAAAGCCACACGGGGCGCAGGGAAGCCCCCTCCAAAGGGCAGGGGGTTGGATGGAGGCGGGGGGTCCCAGCCCCAGGGGTGATGGCTGGGTGTGATGCCTGGCTCGGCTGGGTGCAGCCCCCAAGCTCACCAGTGTCCCTGTCTCCAAGCTGTGACTGGCACAGGGTGATGCTGCTTCGCACGGGATGCTGCAGTGGGATGCCCCAGCTTTCACCCCGGGGGGTGCTGGTGGGGGTTATCCCTCCCTTGAGCTCTGGGTAAGAGGGACAAATCCACCCTGGGCTGGAAGCTGCCTCTGCTGTGTTCAATATCTGCCCCACAGCCCCAGGCTGGGGTGAGAAGGGTCCGGGACCCCCCTCAACACCACGGTACCACCCGGTGTCCTTGGGCTGGGACCCCAGTGACACCCCGGCCAGCATCCCTCGAGCCCCCCCGGACAGGGTTTATGGGCACAGTGGCCAGCATGTCCCCAAAATGGGGTGCGGGGGGGGCACCCCTGTATCCATCATTGTGTTATCACGGAGTGTCAGGGACGGCTGTGGGACATCCCCCACCCCACATCCCCACCACCCGCCTCGTATGGCCGAGGGACACGGTGACCCGCCAGGAAAAGATTTTAATCTCAGCACAGGTCCCCTGCCAGGTGTTGTCCCCCCCCCAAGCCAGGTCCCCTCTGTGTGTGACATCCAGGCAGCCTCAGTAGGTAGAGCCCTGGATGTCATCGTAGTCGCTGCCTTCAGAGGAGTTAGGGTCCTGCGTGTGACCCCCCGAGGGGCAGGAGGGAGCCGGCCAGCCTGCGAGGGGAAAAACCCATCAAGCAGAGGGGCAGGGAGCAGGAGGAGGATGCTGGGGGGGGGGGGGGGGAGGTAGAGGGGCCCTGCACACCCCCACACACACCACCCCACTCACACCCTGCCAGTGTGGGGTCCTCACCAGGGCATGTGGGGGGGTCCCCGGGCGGCTCCACGCCCTGCACGTTCTCGTACCACTCCCCCGAGGAGGTGCTGGAGCTGTCGGCGGGGGGGGAGTCTGCTGTGGACACGGGTACCGGGCAGTGGGAGAGCACTGGGGTGGGGGCACGGGGCATTGCTGGGGGACCTGGGGGGAAACAAGACGCTTTCCACCCCTGTTCCCATCCCCTGGGGTCCCCCCCCTGCCCCCATTCCCTACCCTGGGTCTGTCCCCATCCATCCTTGTTCCTGTCCTTGGGGTCCCCCCAACCCTGCTCCCCTCCCCAGGGCAGTTTCCATCCCTGTTCCCACCCTTGGGGTCCTCCCACCCTCATTCCCCTCCTCAGGGGCTGTCCCCAACCCTGCTGCCATTCCTGGGGTCCCCCCACCCCTGATCCCCTCCCCAGGGGCTGTCCCCATCCCTCTTCCCACCCTTGGGGTCCCCCCACCCCTGCTCCCACCCTTGGGATGTTCCCACCCCTGATCCCATCCTTGTGGTCCCCCCTACTCCCCTCCTGGGGGGATGTCCCCATCCCTGCTCCGATCCCTGGGACCAGAGAGCCCCCCAGCAGTGCCCACCTGAGCCAGGGTAGTTGGTGTAGCCGTGGGTGCTGGGTGCTGGGTGCTGGTGGGTGGCATCGCCAGGGGGCAGGGGGCAGCCCCAGGTGTGTGGGGGGGGCGCGTTGTCATTGCAATAGAGCTCGGTGGAGGAAGAGGAGGAAGAGGAGGTGGAGGAGCTGCTCGCCCTGCCGCAGGACGGGGGGCCCAGTTTGGCCGGCACTGCGGGGCACAGGGCTCCCGTTAGCCCCGGGGCTGCAGGGCTGCTGCTCACCCACCCACGGGCAGGACAGACAGACAGACAGCGCTGCAGGACAGAGGGACGGACACCCCTCGTGTCGTACCCTCCGCAGGGAATGGCTCCATCCCATCCTGGCTGGGCATCAGCGGGAGCAACTGGTCCCCGGGCTGCCGGCGCAGCGAGTCTACGGGGAGGGGGGCATCAATGAGGGGCACCCCCAGGACACCCTGGGGTAGGGGCAGGGTGGTTTGGGGGGGGATGTCCCTGGGGGTGGGGGGCTACTGCTCACTGTAGAAGGTGGAGAGGGCCACAGGTGGCTTGGTGCTGAAGTCGTAGTGTTCGTAGTCAGAGTCGTCGGAGTCCTTGGCAGCGGGAAGGGCTGCGAGCAGTGGGTCTGGGGGGGGGAGGGGGAGATGGGGAGGGGGCAGCCGCCACCAGTGGGGATCTTCTGCCCCACAGCCAGCCCCCTGCCTTTACCCCTGGCAGTGACCTACCAGACCTACCTGGACCTTTGGGAAGGCTGGGGGGCATCTCCCGGTAGTCATTGGAGGTCCCAGAGGGCGTGTTGGGGCTTTCGGCACCGTGGGTCAACCGCACCGGCGCGGCCAGCCCGAGGGAGGACGCAGCGTGGGCTGTGGGGACAATTGGGGGGGGGTTGTCCCATGGCATGGCTGAGCCAAGCGCAGGGCGCTGGGTGGCCCTGGCTGGGCTGGCAGTGTCACCCCCTCCTTAGCCAGAGCCTGCCATGCCCCCCCGCCTCCTGCCTGCCGTGGCGGGGGGGGCCTTCCTTACCGCTCATCTTCCTCACCCGCAGCAGGGCGGCGGTGAGGGCCAGCACGGAGAGCAGGAGCAGCACCCCCAGGACCAGGCAGAGGACGAAGAGGAGCACGTGCAGCGGGGACTGTGTCCCCACGGCCGGGGAGCCCTCCCCAGCTGTGACAGAGAACGGGCACAGCTCATGACACCTGAGGCGTCCTTCCTCCAGGTAAGGAGGGGAGGGCGGGTAGGGGGGGCAAGCGGGGTGCTCCCTGCAGCCCCCCCAGCCCTGAGACAAGTCATGGCTGAGGCTCTGCAGTATACTCACCACTCAGGACCGTGACGTTGCTCGGTGTCACCACGGCCGTCGGCGTCGGTGTCTGCAAGCCCTGGGAGCCTGGCAGGAGCGGGATAAGGATTGAGGGGCCGGGGGGGCAGAAGAAAATGGGTTGCAGCTCATCTACAGTGGACACCGACCCCCCTCCCCATGGCTTCAAGCAGGTGTGGGGGGGGTCTCATACCATTGCAGACCACACCGACTGCCCGGGACTGGTGGCAGGGAGCCGATTTATTGTAGGTCCACTGACAGTGGGCCAGCGACGGCCGCTGGCTCTCGCACTGGTAAAGCATCTTGCTGGGCAGCGTGTGGCCGAAGGAAAGCTGCCGGAGGGGCTCCCCGCACCCCAACGTGCGGCACAGCACGCTGGCCTCCAGCTTGTACCACGTGCTGTCGCACACCGTGCTCCACGTGCCGCGGAAAAAGACCTCGACCCGCCCGGCGCAACCATCCTGGCCGCCGGTGAGCCGCCATTCCTGGTGCTCTGTGGGCAGAGAGCGGAGCTGGGCCCTCGTGATTCCACCAAACCCAGCTCGGTGGCTACCAAACCCCGGCAAGCACCAGCCCCACCTGAGCACACCACGCCGGCGTCTTCTTTATGGCTGCAGTCGTGCTCCGGGGAGGCCGGGCAGTCCCAGAGATTCTCCTCGTCCCCCTCGCAGCCCAAGTCATCCCGGAGGATGGGGCCGTCGCCGCGGCCGAAGGCGGCACCGCCGTGGACGCGGACGGCCCGGCCGCACCGCAGTTGCCGGCACACGACGTCGGCGTCGCTCAGGTCCCAGGCGTCGTCGCACACCGTGCCCCAGGCACCCGCTCGTTCCAGCTCCACTCGACCCTCGCACCGGCTCCGGCCGCCCGCCAGCCGCACCGCGCCGGCACCTGGGCGAGACGTGGGGGAAAAGCGGGGGGTGACCCTGGCGCTGCGCCCTCTTCCCACCGCCTGCCCTGCGTGGGAGCAGCAGTGGGGTGGGATGCCGTTGCCCCCCTGCATCCCCCCCTGCCTCCCCACCGAAATGTGGGTGCAAGGAGCTCCCTCAGCCCTCCCGCGCTCACCTGGTGCCACCGAGGTGTTTCCAGCCGGGGTGCTGGGGGGTCCCGTTGGCTCCACGGGGGCTGCGAGGAGAAAGGGGCAGGGGGGTACAAGGGGCTGATCCCGCCAGGACCCCCCATCCGAGCCCTCCGAGCACGGCGGGAAGACACGGCTGATGGCGGCAGGACAGACAGCCGTGCCGCCAGACAGACACACACCCAGAGCCCCGCTGAGAGCTGGCAGGTGCCAAAGCGAAAGCAGGAGCGAGGTCAGTGGGTATCGGGGGGCCGACCCCCTCCTTTTTTTTTTTTTTTTTTTTTTTGGCTCAGCCCCGGCTCTCCTGGCAAGGCGCAGGGATGCGGCGAGGAGCAGACGGCTTGGATCCCGTGCCGGCTGCTGGGCGCTCCGCCGCTTGCAGATGGCAAACTTGGACACACACACACACACACACACACATGGGGTGCGTGGCTCTGCTGCCACCCCAGCACGCAGCCGTGGGGAGGGCGGGGGGCAGACAGAGAGGGTGCAGGAATGGGCAACCCAGTCCCCCCAAAAAGTGATGTTGCTTTGGGGAAGGATGGCCAAAATGGCATTCTGCGCCCCCCCCCCCCCCCCCAAGCTCCCACAAAATCAGTGGCACCACGGGGAGCCCCCTCGAACCCCACCAGCATGGGCACGGCTCTCTCGCACCCCTAAAATTCAATCCCCGTGTCCCCACGTCAGCCCTTCAGGGGGAGGGGGGCGTGCTGCGGGGGCCAAATGCCGTCGTGGGGTTTGCCCGCAGGGGTGAGGGAGGCAAAATCTGGCCTTAAATACGGCGGTACTGGAACACAACTCACCGGTGGGAATGCTGAAGTGGGGGATGCCGTCATGCACCTGGGATGTTGCCGACACTGCTGTCCCCCGGCTTGCTGCCCCTGCTGACAGAGAGTGTCTCCCTGCACCCCCAGAGCAGCCCCCCCGAGATCCGGGGCCACAGGTGAGGGGATGCTGCTGTCACCGAGGTCTCATTTTAGGTTTTTCCCTCTCCCCAGGCACCCAGAGGGCACGACATCGTTTCGGCCACGGGGATCAATCCCATCCTCTCCCATCCTTTTGCCTCAACACACATCAGCAGCCCGTTGCAGCCGAGCCGCACAGATATTGCCAGAAAAAAATCACCATTTGGCTCCTCCAGGGTGAAGGATTCGTCCCCACAGGTGAGGCGATTCGCTGTCACCGCCACCGACATCACGGCTTTCTCTCAATCCCAACTTCGCGGGGCGTGACAATGTAATAATTGCCATCATGATTTCTGACCAAAAATGGGCATTTTTCGGAACCATTATGTCAGCCCGCTGTGCTGATGGAGCCCGCTCCCACCTTTGCTCACCAGTTGCCGTGAGAGGCTATTTAGGGGGTGCTGGTGGGGTGCCCTGGGTGGGTAGGTGACCTCCGTGACAAGCCACCACCGTAGGCGGTGGGTTCTGGCTTAGTGTTAAAAATATGAAAGGAAAACGCAAGGGCTGAGCGCAGGAGCAGGGGACGTGGTGGGGAAGAGCCGCCCGGCGGGGTCCCGGTGCCAGGCAGCGCCGTGCCTCGAGCCTGGAGGCCAGGCAGCCACGCCGGCAGCGTGGCGGGGAAGGAGCTGTGAGCGGAAACGAGGGCGACGGTGACCGTTTTGCGATGGGTCGGAGGTGTTGAGGCTGCTTCTTGGCAGCCATTTCGGGTGTGAAACTACCCTAAAGCCTGCCGGGCTGGGGGGGGGGAGCGGCTGGCGGCGTCCCCAAAAAGCCATCACGGGGTGATGCTGGTGGCACACAAGCCAACCGGATGGGTTTCGGCCTCTGCTTGCCAAAATGAGGAGAGCCTCACCTTGTCCCCGTAGGGCCGGGGGTGGGAGCTGGCGGGTGGGCTGACCCCAAGAGCACTTTTAGGGTCCCCAAAGTCACCAGCCCCCCCAGGCAGGGCCAACCCACCGGGCAGTGAGGGGTGCAGGTTGGAGCTTGGGGGGAAGAGGAGTTCCGATTTTGCAGAGTTGCCCGCAGAGCATCCTCGCTCAGCGCCGAGGCACCGCCACCCCCCCCACACCCCCGGCCCCAGCAGGACCCTTCCCAGGGAGGTGGCAGGTACCCAAATCCGAAATCATCACAGCCACCACCCCGGGGAAGGGAGAAGGTGAGGACATTGCCGTACCTTGTCCGGGCGCCGCAGCGGAGAGAGCTGCCAAGAGCAGGCAGAGCCCTTCCATCCTGCTCAGCGGCTGTGGGGCAGCCCCATGGCGGTTGGGGTGCTGGGGCTTGGGATAGGGGGGCTCCCGTCCTCCCGCCACCTCTCTCAGCAGCCTGGGGACATGGTTTTGGATGTGTGTGTCCCCACCTTCTCCGTGGTGCTGCCTGCCGCCCGTGCGCTCTCTCTGCTCCCGGCTTGTGGTCGAGGGCTGCAGGAAGCCAGCTCAGCACCGTGGGGCGGAGGAGCACGCTGGGGTGGCGGCCCCATCCTGCGCACTTGCAGAAGGGGGGGGAAGCAGGGGGGTGGGCTCCACTCGGGGATCACACCGCACATCCGTGGCATCCCTTGGGGTCCCGGGGAGCTGGCGGTCCCACCCCGGGGCACGCTCGGGACACGCGGATCTCGCAGGAGCCACCGTTTTGCAGATCCTGGGGTGCCACCATGCCACGGGCTTGGGACAGCATCACCGGTGACACGGTGGGACGTAGCCTCCCCCCAAGCTCTGGGACCTCCATGGGGTGATGGAGCAGAGCGTGGAGTTCCCTCCTTGTCCCTCAATTTCTGAGCCTGAGGTAAGCAGGGGGACGCTCGCGAGACCACAGGTAGACAGGTAGGTGTGACGTGGCCGGTGGCTTCATGCTGTGGCACAAGAGACCTGCAGAGGACAACCCACGGTGACCCCGAAGATGTGCCACCCCGCTCCCCTGCCTGCCGAGCCCTGGCAGGAGGGAGGTCGGTGACAACGAGGTGGATCTTCCAAACAGGCTACGCTTGTCATGTTGTCCCCCACCCCAACCAACACCATGGATTCAAGTCTCTTCCCTTACCCAGCTGCTGGTCATCACAGAGCTCATTAAAACCCCCTGCTGTGGCCCAGGTGGGGATACTGGGAGCTGTGGGGCTGCTGGGAGCTGTCAGAAGCCATGGCTGTGGGCTGGCGAGCGCTGCCTTTGGGCTTTTCCCCTGCCCTGGAGAGCCCGGAGGGGCTTGGTTTAGGCAGGATGGGGTGCAAGGGCATGGAGGAGCTGGAGGATGCTGTAAGGGGCTGGAAACTTGTGGGCTGGGGGGGTGAGTTTGGGGGTGGGGGGGGGGTGGTACATGCCCATTGCCTCACTCCCCTTAGCTTCCTGCCTTCCTCCGAGACTAGGTTTTTACTTTTGCTTTATTTTTTTGTGACTTATGGAAACTTAAAAGCTGTGTGCTGTCTGTCTCACTGCCGAGTCTGGTGGAAAATAGCAGAGCGTGAGAGGCAAACAGGCACACACACACACACACACCCCCAGCCCCATTTCCTTAGGAAATCAAGCTGCAAAATAAACCCCTGTGCACTTGTGGGTCGGGGATTTTGGGTGCACGCTGCAGGGGGGGAGAGCCGGTGCCGTGGGACTGAGCTCTGCTCAGCCCAGCTTTACACCAGCCTTGGGGGGCTTCGGTGGGTGCTGGAGGGTGCACAACATCCCCCGGCACATGTGGGGCTCGGACGCCCCTATAATGTGGGGGGAGACCCTGGCCTCAAAGAAGGGATTTGGTGCTGAGGACCCAGCAGAGCTTTGCTGGTGCAGGGAAATGGCTTGGGAGGGGGGGGCTCGGTGAGTGTCTGATTGAGGGGGAAGCATGGGGAAAGCCCCCAGGAAGAAGCTGTGCTGGCTGATGGGGATTTTTGCTTATGAGCCATCATATGATATGTTTCTGTTGGGCAGGAATGGGGAATTGGGAGATGGGGAGGGACGGGAGTGACAGATGCCCACCCGGTGATGGGGACAGCCCAGAGAGGGGCCGAGGGGAGACGGAGAAGGGGCTGTGACAGGACAGGGACCCCCGGCTGTGCGTGGTGACGGGCAGCAAAACCACCACCGAGACCTGCGGTGCTCACGGTCAGGATCGGGGACAACGGGGAGCAAAGCCCCTTGTTGGGGGGGACACCCCTCAAGGGGCATCGGGGCGGCGCGCGCGGCCGTGCTGGCGGTGGAGGGGCTGGAGCGAGCGGCTTGCTTCGGCATCATGGCCATCTTGGTGCTCTGCCTCACCAGCAGCACCTTCGGCTGGGGCGGGGGGGGCACCTGCCTGCGCTTTTGGGGGGCTTCCTACCTGCTCTCGCCCGTCGGCGCCTGGCTGGCTGATGTCTACCTGGGCTGCCACGGCACCGTGGCTCTCAGCTTCTCGCTGTGCCCGCTGGCGGCACGTTTGCTGCCCGTCACCGCCTCACTGGACGGCCGCCTCCCGCTCTGCGGGCAGCTGACCGCCACCGCCAGCCGAAACCGCTCTTGGCACGGCACTGGGACGTGCCGGTGGCACCCCCCCCCCCCCCCTCCCCGATGTCTATTGTGCCCCTGCTGTCTACACTGGCCTCCTGCTCTTGGCGCTGGGCATCAGCTCCATCAGAGCCAACCTCACCCCCTTCGGCGCCGACCAGGTGAGCGTGGCAGCCGGCGGCATCTTTCTCCCTCTGCTCCTTCCCAACCTTGGGGTCCTCCTGGCTCGGTGCTTGCCCTGATGTCGTGGGTCTCCCTTCCCCTTCCACTGAGCTAAAAGGGGGTTACAGCCTCCCCTGGGGTGTGGTTGCACCCCCATAGATCACCCCCAAACCCTTTGAGACCCTTGGGACAGCCTTGTTGGGGGAAGGAGGGAGGGAAGCCGGTGGGATGGGATGTGGTGGGCAGGGGATGAAGCCGAAGCCCTGCACTCAGGGCTGAGGTTCGGTGCTGCCGAGGCTGAGCCAGCCCCGGGGCCTCCACGCTGGCAGGTGAGGAACCGGCGCGGTGGCATCACACGGCGCTTCTTCAACTGTTCTACTGGAGCCGTCTTCTCCCTGCTGGTGGTGGCCTTTGTCCAGCAGAACATCAACTTTCTGGCTGCTACCTCATCCCCGTCACCTGTATGGCCTTGGCTCTCCTCATCTTCCTCCTGGCCACCCCCACCTTCACCACCAAGCCCCCCACGGGCAGCCAGGTCTGCATCATGATCAAGCTGATCTTGCAGAGATGTGGCTGCACCTGGCTGGGGAGGTGAGAAGAGCTGGGGGTCATTGGGGGGGCTGCACCCTCCCAGCCCTGGCCTTGACCACGCTGTCCTTGTCCCCAGGCTGAGCACTCGCCGGTGTGAGCCTGGAGACCCTCTCCACAACAGCGGAGCCCAACCTGGAGCCCCTTCTCCTGAGGAAGACCTTGTCAACTTCCAGATGCTGGCCCGGATCCTGCCCATGATGTTGACCTTCATCCCTTCCTGGGTGGTCTACTTCCAGGTGAGGTGCGGGGTGGGCTCTGCACCGGGCAGGGACCATCCAGACCCTCTGGGACCAGAGCCCATGGAGCCATCAGCCCGTCTCTTTTCAGATGCAGTCAACTTATTACTTGCAAGGTCTGCACTTCCACATCCCCAGCATCTTCCAGTACAACCAGGACCACACCAGCACCCTCCAGGGCTACACGGTGAGGGACAGGGAGGGCCGGCAGCTCCTTGGACCTGAGGGGTGAAGTTTGAAGCTTTGACCTCCCTCTGCCCAGCAGTTCCCAGGTGCTTGTCTACTCCTGGCCAACTCCTGGTCTTGCTAGCCTTGGTGCCCCTGAAGGACCACGTCATGGACCCCTTCCTAGCCAGGAGGAGGCTGCTGCCCTCGGCGCTCGAGCAGATGACGCTGGGCATGTTCTTCGGCCTCGCGGCAGGTAGGACCCAAGCTGGGGAGGGGGACGCTGCCATGGGCAGGGGTCCAGTGGGCGCTCAGCCCCTCGCCGGCATCCCGCAGGCATCCTGGAGCGGCTGCATAACGGGACGGCGCCGCAGCTCATCGGCAAGGGCCACTGCCCGCTGCCCATCTGGTGGCAGGTCCCCCAGTCCCTGCTCATCGGCCTCAGCGAGCTCTTCACCAGTATCCCCAGTGAGCGGTGCCCACTTCCCCCCCCACCCCTCCCCAGGCCCCCGGGGCACCCACCGCAGCCCCACCACCACCGTGGCAGTTGGGTTTGGTGGCGGGAACCCCAAAGGGTTCAAGCCTTTCCCCGTGCGCTCTCCGCTTTCCCGCAAGCCTGGAGTTGGCTGACGCCGAGGCTCCCGACTCCATGAAAGGAGCCGTCATGGGTCTCTTCTTCTTCCTCTCCAGGGTGGGCTCGCTCTTGGGGTCGGGGCTGCAGACCCTCCTCTCCTTGCCCACCCCGGGTGGACGTGCTGCCCCGAGGGCTACGGTGAACGCTGGCATGGGTGTCACCTTTCTGCATGGGGTGCCTTTGTGGCTAGCGGGGTTATGGGGTGCGGGACACAGGGGTGTCCTGCGCGCCCCCAACCCCCCCCCCAGCTCTGACCACCCCCAGGGAGCATCAATAGCTGGTTAAGTGTTTCTTCCTGCTGGCCGGGATCCAGTCGATCACCTGCCTGCTCCTCACCTGGATCTCCAGGCGCTACCGGAGCTAGCTGCCGTGACCAGGTGTCCCCCAACTCTGCACGGGGCTGATGTGGCGATGAGGCATTGTCCCCCTCCTTCACTGGGGACAGGGATGCTGGTCCCAGTGCTGGAAGGGCAGGGTAGAGCGGGGTGAAAACAGGAACCCCAGGGCAGCCAGAGCAATCACCTCACCCCATTGTGGGTTTTTGGGGGGGAGCTGTGGGGGTGGTTCGAGCCCCGGTTTGTGGGGCAGAGGGAAGGGGATGGTTGGGTGGGTGCCAGCCCAGCGTGGGGAGCCGGCTGGGAGCAGGGTGACAGAGGTGGGGTGTCCCCTGCTACCACCCAAGGTGATTTGGGGGTGTCTCAGGATCTCTGGGGGAGCAACTGGAGGGGTGGAAATCCCTGTGGGACCCCTGATTAAAGGGACTTGCTGGCCCGTTGGCTGTGGCTGCTGTTGCAGGAGAAACACTTTGCTGGGGCTTGGGGGGATCAGGGACCGGTTGGGGGTGGGGGGGACCCCAGGACCAGGCTGCTCCCTCATCCTGGGGGTTGGGGCTGGACAGAGAGGAGGAGGAGGAAGGCGGTTTCCCCTTCACCAGAGGAAGGAGGTCCCTTGCCCCAAGGTCACCCTGGCTGGGCCAGGGCCAGGACCAGCCCCCCAAGCCCTTCCCGTGACCAGCTCCCACGTTTGTCCCCACGTGGAACCAACGTCAAGGGCATGTGTCCATCTGTCCCCGGGAACCCGGCAGGCTCTTCCGTGCCTGGCAGAGCTGGTCCCTGCAGTACCCGGGAGTGGACACCACAGGGGTTTCCCCAGACATTTTGGGTCTATTTTTGTTTGGTTTTTTTTTTTTTTTTTGTTTGTTTGTTTGTTTTTTTTTAAATATTTTATTTTTGTAACAACGTCAGAATTAAAAATATTCCATAAATAATGGCCCCTCGCGGCAGCCCCTTCCCCAGGGCGTTACCGGTAAAAAAATGCCACTTGTACAAAAACGGATGCGTGGTCGGGGTGAAGGTGGGGAGGGCGCACGCCCCCCTCCTCCCCGCAGTGTGGGTGCGGCGGGGGGCACAGGACCCTCCCCGGGATCAGACCACAGGACTCATCATCATCATCATCACTATGAACACAATGTCGCAATGAGACCCAAAGCAGTAAGGGCACCCCAGCTTCCTCCCCGATGCCACTAAGGTGGGGGGGGGGGATGGCACCCCAAGATTTGGGGGTGCTCTGAGCTGGGTGGAGACACCCCCCACACCCCCCTGCAATCTGCGGGCATCTGGGGCCAGTCCCTTGGGTGGCCCCACTGGGGCAGGGCTCTGGCCACCAAAAAGGGACAGGCAGTGGTCCCCAGGAGCAGCACAGCCCGCTATAGGCAGGGAAAGGGGGGGATTGGGGTGTCCCCCCACCTCTCCCAGGGCGGCGTGGGGAGGAGGTTGGTCCCTTACTGGTTTGCCTGGGACTGGGGGGCCAGGGGCTGCCCCCCCCGGGGTCAGGAGCTGCCTCGGATCCTCTCCATGTAGCTCCTGAGCTCCTCGGGGTCCCGCAGCCCCATGTCCTCGCACACCCAACGGATGTCATCCTCGCTGGCCACCAGGATGGACTGAACATTGGGGACAGGCTGGGGGGGTTCCTCGGGGACCCGGGGGGACGCGAAGGTGACGAATTCCACCCGCTTCCTCCGGCCGCCCCCCGGGGTACCCCCTTCCTTGCGGGGCAGGGGAGCCCCGGGCGGCGGGGTGCCAGGGGGATGCCCCACTTCAGAACCAGGCGCGGTGGCCGGGGGCACCCCGCAAGAGCAGCGCCCGCTTTCGGGGGGGGCCGGGGGCTCGGGTTGCCGGCGGTCCAGTTGCCGGCTCAGCTCCTCCTGGTCGGTGCCCAACCAGACCCAGTTGTGGGGCTGGGGGGCCGTAGGGGCGGCGCCGGCATCGGGCAGCTCCTTCTGTTGGTACCGCAGGACGAAGAAGATGCAGTTGACGAGGAAGATGAAGATGGCCAAGCAGAAGACGCCCAGCAGGACGTACATGCCAATCTCCAGGTCGGTCACCCGCTCGGGAGCCTTCACCATCTCATCCTCCTCCTCTTCCTCGCCACCGGCGCGGTTGCGGCCGTAGCCTTCCTCCTCTTCCTCCTCCGAGGAAGACCCCAGCCCTTGGAGCTTGGGGGAGGCAGGTCCTACGCCGGCGGGGTCCCTCCGCCGCGGCTCGCTGGCCGCCGTCACCGCCTCCCCCGACATGGCCCCCTCGGCTCGCGGGAAGGGCGAGCTGGGCTGGGGGTGGCCACCACGGGGCTGGGGGCTACTAGGGGTAGGGGCACGCCGGCCGGCCCCCACCTCGAGCCAAGCGGTGACGGTGGCCAGCGCGGCTGCCCGGTGCCGGCCCCGGCGACAAGCGTCGGGGGGGTGCAGGCTGAGCTGCAGCAGATCCCCCCGCCCCGGCCCTTCGGCCACCACCCACGGGCGAGCGGCGGGGGCCCCGGGGGAGCCCCCCACGGTGGCGACGGCGGGGTCTAGCGAGGTCAAGGTCACGGTCGCGTCCTGCCAGCCGTACAGCTCCAGCGGGGCCAGCGTGCGGTCGGAGAAGGACAGCCAGACGGACAGCGTCGCCTCCTGCCACAGACAGCGGGCGGGATGGGGATGGGTACCCCGACATCCCCACCTCCCCGCCCCTCCCCTCCTCTCTTTTCACCCCTCTCACCTGCTTGGGGGCCCGCAGGGTGGCTGTCCCCCGAGCGCTGGCGGTGACCAGCCCCGGGTGGCCCCGCTCTGCCCGCAGGAGGAGGGACAGCCCTGCCACCGCCCCAGCGCGCAGCTCCGTCACCGTCACCTTCTCCTCCGACACCACCAACGTCTGCTCCCCCAGGATGGAGGCCGACAGCGGGGACCGCACCTGGAGCGGGGACACACACACACACCCCCGCCTTGTGAGCCCCCAGAATTCACAGCTTCCCTCCTTTGCCACCCCTGTCCTGGCCCCCCATTTCCCTCCCTCCAGCCCCTGCACCCCCCCCCCCAGCTCTCCTCTGCCCCCAGGACCCCCACACACACCCCCTCCAGCTTCCCTCTGCCCCAGGACCCCCACCAGCCCCCCCCATATCCCCTCCAGCCCCCCCATTTCCCTCCCTCTGCACCCAGGACCCCTCCCAGCTTCCCTCTGCCACCAGGACACCCACCAGCTCCCCCTCCAGCCCCTCCATTTCCCTCCCTCTTCCCGCAGGACCCCCCACCAGCCCCCTATCTCCATCTCTCCAGCTCCTGTACCCCTCCCAGTGCTCCCAATACCCCCCCTCCCCCCAAAACCTACCTCCACAGAGGTGACCCCGGGCTCCCGGCCGACCACCACGGTGCCCCCCTCCAGCGAGGCCACGCGGGGGTCCTGCACCCGGGTCCGGTTGGCTACCAGGTGGGTGACATCCAGGAGCCACTCGGGGCCAGGCAGGTAGGCGAGGTGGCGCCCACCGTCGAGTGGGTGGGCCACGAAGTGGGCCAGGACCCTCAGCTCCGTCCGCTGGTACTGGGGCCGGCACCCCCGCGCCCGCCGCTCCACCTCATCCCCTGGCTCCTCCGCCTCGGCACTGGGGGGGGGTGCGGTGGGGTGGGGACGTGTTATGAGTGCGTGGGGGCTCAGTGGGGCAGGGACATGTGTCACGAGTGCGTGGGGGCTCAGTGGGGCAGGGGTGTGCACCCCAAGCACCATGGGGTTCGGTGGGGTAGGGATATGTGGCACAAGTGCGTGGGGGCTCAGTGGGGTGGGAATGAAACTCATGGGTGCCGTGGGGCACCCCAGGCACCGTGGGGCTCAGCAGGCAGGGACGTGTGTTATGAGTGTGTGGGGGCTCAGTGGGGCAGAGGTGTGCACCCCAAGCACCATAGGGGGCTCAGTGGGGCAAGGACATGTGTCACGAATGCCACAGGGCTCAGCAGGGCAGCAGCACATGTCACGAGCGTGGTGGGGCTCAGCAACCGCTCCCAGCTCCCTCCTCTCCCACCACCATCCTGGTGGGGGACAGCGGCAGGAGGCACCCCACCACCACCACCCCCACACCCCCCCAAACCGGGCGCTGGGCTCACCCCTCGGGGCCACCAGGCAGGCGCCAGCCCCGCACTTGCTCCAGCGCGGTGTCACCCAGTTGGACGCGCAGGGGCAGCAGCGGTGCCCAGACGGTGAAACGCAGCGAGGCGTGCAGGCGCCGGGACCAGAAATCCACCCGAGCCCCCCGGGCCCCCCGGCTCTCCTTGCCCCCCACAAATACTGCGTCGCAGGCATCCGAGACCTGGGGGGTGGGGGGGAAGACACACAAACACACACACAGGGGCAGGGGGCTCAGCACCATGGGGTGCGGTGGGGCAGGGATATGTGTCACAAGTGCGTGGGGGCTCAGTTGGGCAGGGGCGTGCACTCCAAGCGCCATAGGGTTCAGTGGGGTGGGGACATGTGGCACGAGTGCGTGGGGGCTCAGTGGGGCAGGGGCGTGCACCCCAGGCACTGTGGGACTCAGTGGGGCAGGGATATGTGTCACGAGCACGTGGGGGCTCAGAGGGGCAGGGCTGCATCCCATGGGTGCCATGGGGCTTGGTGGGGCAGGAATGGGTGTTATGAGTGCGTGGGGGCTCAGTGGGGCAGAGGCATGCACGCCAGGCACCGTGGGGTTCAGTGGGGCAGGGACATGTGTCACGAGTGTGTGGGGGCTCAGTGGGGTGGGGACATGTGCCACGAGCACGTGGGGGCTCAGCAGGGCAGGGCTGCATCCCATGGGTGCCGTGGGGCTCAGCGGGGCAGGGTTTGGTGTGAGAGGGGACACACGGACACACCCCCCCCGCGGGGGGAGGTTTTTTCTCACCTGCAGCACTTGCTTGTCAGCCGACTCGCAGCCCAGCGGCTCGCTGAGCTCGGCCACGCCGCCCCCCGCCTCCACCGCCACCAGTTTCACCGGCACGGCGCGGGGGACGCCCGTCAGCGGGGCCGTGTTCAGGATCTCCAGTTCCTTTTGGGGTGGGGGTGAAGAGGTGGGGCTGAGCGCTTGGCCCCCACCCCCACCCCCAGGGCTGGGGTTTTTTTTTGGGGGGGGGGGAGGACGGATGGACAGATGTCACCCACCTGCACCAAGGGGACGAGGGCGCGGATGTCCCGCTCCGATACCTGGATCTCCCAGACCAGTTTGTCCTTCTGGGCCTCAGGGTCCTGGCCCGGGTACTCCACCTGCCAGGTGAGGGGCCGCGCCGGTGCCAGCCCCCCCGTCCCGTTCTCCACCGCCAGGTCCAAGTGCAGGAACGTGGCGGAGTCGGCCGCCCTGCACCACCGCACCGGGGGTCGGGGCTGCCCAGTAGCCCCCAATCCCCCCCACTGGGCCATACTGGGGTGGGAGCCGTGCGATGCACAGGTCCCTTTTGCTCTGACTAAGCCATAGTGGGATGGGAGCAGTGCAACCCACAGGTCCGCCTGGGCCGTACTGGGATGGGAGGGGTACAATGCAGAGGACCCCTTTAGCTCTGACTGGGCCATACTGGGCTGGCAGCAGCACCATGCACATGGGCCCTTTCCTCTGACTGGGCACCACTGGGCTGCACCCCCCTGCCCAATCCCCCACCCCCCACCCCACCGTGGGGGTCCCCAGGGTGCCGCGCCGCCCCCTTACCTCCATCCTCCACCACCGTCCCCGTTGCGCCGGCACGTCACCACGACCGTGGAGTGTTTGGGACCCCGGGTGCGCTCCAGTTGGGTGCTCCAGGCCGTGGGGACCCCGGGGCGGGCGCCCACCACCTGCAGCCCCTTTTTTGCCTTGATCCTACCAGGGGACACCCCCTCCCCGGTCACGTAATCTGTGTGTTTGTGTCCCCCCCCGTCATCTCCCCACCTTATCGGGGAGGGGGGGGGGTAGGGGGGGTGTCCACTTGGATGGTGGGTGGTGGGGGTCTCACCGGAGCGTCAGCTGGTCGGCGGTGAAGTTGTGCTGGAGGGCGAGGGTGGCGGTGAAACGCTGCCCAGGGCGCAGCGTGGCGTCAGGGACCCTCAGCAGCACCTTTTCGTCCAGCCGTACCTCCTGCCGCCGCGCCGGCTCGCTCGCCCGCAGCTCCAAGGTGCCCAAATATTTCGGGGGGTTCTCTCCGCCACGGTTCTTTTCCCGCCCTCCTGGTCGGTCGCATTCCCCCCGGTTCATCACGCTGTAGTGAAGTTCAGCCAGTTCGAGGGGTTCGGGGTGCCCCGGGGGTTCGGCTGCCCGGCGGCGGCTGCGCGGGGTGGGGGGTGACGGGGAGAACCAGCGCGGGGGGATCTCCAGCTCCACCACGCAGACGCCCAGAGGGGCCTGGAGGGGAGAGTGGGAGCTCAATTCAGCGTGGGGGGGGCCAAGGGGGGTGACCCCCCGCACCCTGAGGTGGGGGGGTGGGGGGCGGGGTGTGCTCCAGGTTTGGTGGGTGGCACTGACCCGAAGGTGGCAGGTCCCACGGGCCACCCGGCCACGGTGGTGGGCATGGAGGGTGACGCAGGGCAGGTCCCACTCCCCGGGGTGCTCCTGCTCCCCGGGGTGCTCCCGTTCCTTGGGGTGCCCCCGCTCTTTGGGGTGCCCCCGCTCCCCGGGCAGCCAGTGGGGACCCTGCAAGTGGAAGAGGACGCGGGCAAAGGGCTCGGCGGGGGACACGGCGCTCTCCAGGGACACGGCGCGGATAGCCCACGCTGCCGAACCGTCCCTCCCAGGGGGGTTCTCCGGGGGCACCTCCTGTAAAAAAAACGGGGATGGTGACGGCAGGGTGCGGAGTGGCCCCCCAAGGTGGCGGGGAGGGGGGGGGTTATTTTACCTGCCGGGTGCTGAAGGGTGGGTAGGTGGCCTGGACGAGGGGCTGCGTGGCGGAGCTGTGCCGCAGCAGCAGGTAGGTCTCGGTGCGGGTGTGCAGGGAGGTGTTGGCGGGTAAGTCCCGGTCCGCCCGCTGTAACCGGTAATATTCGGGTACACCCAGCACCTCCAGGTCCGCCGGCAGGTACACGGGGTCGGGGGGGTCCCCGTCACCCCTCACTGCGAGGACAGGAGCTGTGTCACCCACCCATGGAGGGAAAGGGCTGCCGTGGGGTGATAACCAGAGGGGAGGGGGGTGTCTCCGTGCCTGAAAGCCGGTTTTGGCACCGCACGTCCTCGTCCCTGTCCCCCACCTTGGGGACAGGGTCACCCCGCGCTGCGGGGAGGCTGTGATTTGTGTGAGGGTGCACCAGCGCAGCCCCCTGTGCCCCCACCACCACCACAAAGTGGATGCTGGAGGGCGGCATGGTACCCCACTGGTGTCGGGGTCAGTGTTGTGGGGGGAGGTGGGGGGGCCCCCAGGCCTGGCTGCTCCTCGTTAACGAAGCGACGTTCGTCAGGCTGTCCGGCTTTGCCAGCAGCATGGGGACCCGCTCCCCCGGCGGGGATGGTGCCGGGGCCCCATGGGGTGGGATCCAGATCACAGGGATCTCCCAGAGGAGCCCGGAACAGATCCCGCCGGGATACCCGAAGTGGGGTTTACCCACGGGCCCAGGGACAGATCCCACCCGATTCACAGCTCCCCGTGGGCACGGGAAGGGGGCAGATTGCAGGGGATCCAGTGGGGGGGAGAACCGAGGCAGATCCCGTGGGCTGGGAGGGGGGCGGTGGATCCCCCTCGGGCTGCAGGGATCCCGCGTGGATGGGGAGGAGATTCCCGCTGAGATCACAGCGGCTCCTACGGTCCTTTGGGGTGGGGGGGGGGTGGGGGGTGGGATTCCCCTCCGGATCGCGGTGGATCCCTTAGGGCTCGGCGGAGATCCGGCATGCGTGGGGGAGCGGATCCCTCCGGGATCGCGGGAGCAGATCCCGGGGCTTGGAGGGGGATGGGGGGGGGCAGGTTTCCCCGGAACGGCGGCGGGAGCGGATCCACGCGGGACGGCGGGGATCCGCCGCGATCGGGTGCGGAGCCGGGCTCGGGGTGCCGGTGCCGGTGCCGGTGCCGCCGCACTCACCTGAGGCGCAGAGCAGGGCGGCGGCCAGCAGCGCCAGCCGGTTGCCCGGGGCCGGTACCGGGGCCATGGCCGGGCGGGTCCGTGCGAGCTCCGGTCGCCGTTCCCGTCCCTCCGCCTCCGCGCCCAGACAATGGGGCCGGGGCGGGACCGGCACCGGCGCCGCCTCGTCCCGCCGGGTCCTAAACACCGGCCCTGCCCGCGCCCCCCCCCCCCCCCCCCCCCCCAACGCAAATATCCCCCCCCCACGTCCACCCCCGAGCAGCGCCGGGCACCGCTCCAGCCCCGCTCCCCAAACCCAGCCCCAGCCCCGGGCTGCGCAGCGCCGAGCGCAGCTCCAGCCACATCCCGCTCCCCATTCCCATTCCCGCTCCCCATTCCCTCTCCCCCTCCCCATTCCTGCCCCCTATTCCCATCCCACTCCCCATTCCCACTCCTCATCCCACTCCACATCCCCATTCCCTGTTCCCCATTCCCACTCCAGGACACACCAGGCCCTGCGGAGGGACCCCCCCCCCCCCAGCAGAGGTGGGGGGACACTCTCACACCGCCTCATCTCCATCCTGCCCAGTCCCACCCCGATCAGGGCAACTGGGAAGCGCTGGAGGGGGGGGGGGGACACACACACAGATACTGGGGACACTGGAGGGACTGGAGGGCAGACGTGGCCAGGGGCACGGAGCAAGTGGGAGGCAGGGCAGCGGGGACGGGTCCTGGCACGGATAAACCCCCCCCCAACCCCCCTCCTCTTCCTCTTCCTCTCCCTCCTCCGTGCTCAGCAAACACAGGGAGCAGGGGCGCGCAGGGCCCACCCATCCCCCACTGCTCCCCATGCCCCTTCAGTAAAGGTTGGGCTAAAACCGTGTTTATTCAGACCCACATATCAAAACAGTTTAAAAAGCAGCTTAAAACCCGAGGAGTGACAGCCCGGAGCCCCGAGGGGGCTGTGACACCGCCCCCCACCCCCTCCCCCAATGTGAGCAGAACCATTTTGGGCTGGGGAGGTGCTCAGGGTGGGGAGAAATTGGGGATGAAGGCGGGGGTGGGGAAAGGGGGGCTGCCAGGGCCATAGGAGGACCCCCCTCCCCAGGGGAAGGCACTTTTGGCTTGCGTGAAGGCACTGTGGCATGTGCGCGGGGAGTGGATCCCCAGTTTTGGGGACACACACACCCACACCCCCCCTTCCTCTATGCTCCCCCCAGTGGGATGGGGGGGGGCTCCCGGGTTGGTGTCCACTCTGGAGCAGAGGCGGGGGGTGGGGGGGTTAAGGGGTGCAGGACCCCCAGGGAGAACCGTTGGGAGGGGCAGAGGAAGGGGCGCATGGGGGGGGATCAGCAGAGAGAGCGCGTGTTTAAGGAGGGGTCCCCCCCCCAAGAGCTGGAGAATGGAAGGGGGGGGGGTCACTCCTCCCGGTTACGGGGCCCCCCCCACTTCTGCCGCCGCCGCAGCTCCTCTACTTTCCACTCCAGGCTGCGTACGGCGGCATCCAGCTGGGGGTTGGGGTTGGGGGGCCCCACCAAGCACCCCAAGAGGTTGTAGAGCACCCAGAGCCCCAGCAGCATCCCCGCCTGCGCCGTGGGGCTCTCCTGGGAGGTGACGACGTGGAGGAAGGCACCCAGGAAACAGCCAAATTTCACCCAATGGCAGAGGGACAGCAGTAGCCCCCGCAGCCGCCCCAGGAGCCAGGAACCCGCCGCGGCAGCCAAACCCCACAGCAGCACCCGCTGCACCTCGCCGGGACCCAGCGTCACCCCGCGAACCAGCCGGTCCCCTGGGAGGGAGGCGGGTGTCACCAGGGTTGAGTGACAAAACCATCCCACACCCGGGCTTGGTTGGGGTTTGGGGGTGCGTGTGGGTGTCCCCCCCCTCCTCCTTTTTTCCTTACACACCCGCCCCCCCTCCAACTCACCGCTGATGCCACACACAGCCAGGAGATCACCCAGGATCCCGCCAAGAGTGGTCAGGGCCACCGAAATCCCCGAGGACACGACCCAGAGGGTGGCAGCAAGGCTCTGTGGGGGACAAACGGAGACGGGGTGGGTGCTGGGGGTGGGATGCAGTGTAGTCGTCCCCCCCCCCGCCCCCGGCTTTTTCCCTTGCCCCCCCTTCTCACTCAGGAGGGGGGATGGGGCCAGGACCTCACCTCCGTCACCAGCCGCAGGGGTTGGGGACCCACGCAGCTCTCCAGGGATTCCCAAACAGCTCGGCCCAGGCGCGACAGTGGGTCGGCAGCGGCAGTGGCGTGGCTGCCTAAACCATCCTGGCCCCCCCCTGCTGTCACCCCGAAAAAAGGAGGGACCCACAGCAGCACCGCCAGCAGAACACGGCGTCCCGCCTCACCCCCCATCGTGGGGGGGGGGGTGTGGGGGGTGTGGTGTGGTGTTTCTGCAGGAAGAGGGAGAGCAGGGTGGGAGAAATGCCAGAAATGTCTGGGACAGCTGGAGGTGTCCCCCCCCGCCCTCCCCCCCGCTGTTTTTTTGGGGTTCCCCTGAGCGGGAGGGGAGGGATGTGGCTCCCCCCCCTCCCCCCCCACCCCGGGGTTGTGCTGGCTCAGCGCAGGCCTGGCTATCTTTAGGACGGCGCAGCGCCTGCCCTGGCCAAGGGCACGGAGAGGGGGGAGAAGAGGGGGGCGGCAAGGAAGCGGGGGGGTGGGCGGCACCCCAACACCCGCCCAGCCCCGCAGCAGGGAGCGGGGTGCTCCAGGGTGGGATGCAGCCATCGCTGTCGCACACCCCCAAAAGGAAACACATCCCTCCTCACCTCACGCACCCCCCACTCCTCCCGGCTCCCCTCCCCAGGTCATTGGGCGCCCTGTCCCTCTCCAACCCCTGGGTATCCCCCCCCCCCCGAGCACCCCAATTCGCTGGGGGGGATCCCTCAGACCCCCGGGGGGAGGGGTGGGAAGCACCCTTTCCCCCCCAATCCCCATGACACCCCCCCATCCCCCACCCCCCCCACTCCCATCTCCCAGGACACCTCCAACAATCCCACCCAGAACCCCCCCAATCCTCCCCCTAGGACCCTCCCAATCCCGGGACCACCCCCCCCGACTATCCCCCCTGCCCCAAGCCCATGTGTCATGTCCCCCCCCGCCGTTCTCACCACTCTGTTCCCTCCCTGTGTCCTCCCCAATCCGGGGTCCCCCCCTCCTCCCCTCCTCATCTCGGGGTCCCCCCCCACCCTTCCCGGGGTCCCCCCCCCACCCCCGGGACCCCTCCACCCCAACTATCACCCCCACGTGTCCGTCCCCCCCCCTCCCCGTTCTCACCACTCTGTCTCCTCCCCGTGTTCTCCCCAAACCCCGGGGTTCCCCCCGCCTCATCTCGGGGTCCCCCCCCCCTTTTCCCGGGGATCCCCCCCCACCTCAGCGCTCGCCGCCGCCAGGGGGCGCTGCCGAGCCGGAGCGCGCGGGCAGCCCCTCACGGCCGCCGCGGGGTACGACGGGAACTGTAGGCCGGAGGGGGGGGGGGGTGCTCTGCGCCCCGGTGCACGACGGGAGGAAGGAAAAAACAAAACAAAACCAAATATTAAAAAACTAAACAAAACAAAATAAAAAAAACACCTACACACACACACAAAAAAAAAAAAAAAAAAAACAAAACAACAAAAACAAAAAAAAAAAAAACCCTCCGGTCGCTATGGCAACGCCGCCCCCCCCCCCCGTGGTAGTGGGGGGGCCCCCCCGTGGCTGCGCGCGGGGCATGCCGGGATCCCACCGTTCCCGGGAGGGGGTGGCGCGCTGTGCATGCTGGGAGCGCTTCCGTTTCCGGCGGCGCCCGCGTGAGCCCGTTGTCGGGGAAAAGGGGGGGGGAACTTAAAAAAAAAAAAAACAAATCAAAAACAAAACAACGAAAAACAACAAAACGGGAAAACGGTAATAAGAGCGGGGCCGTGATCCGCCCGCTGTCCGCCATGGCCCTCATCTGCTCCAGTGAGTGGGGGGGGGTCGGTGACTGGGCGGCGGGGGTTACCGGCCGCTCGGTGCCGTAACCGCCGCTTTCCTCCCCCCCCCCCCCCCCCTTTAGTTTCCAACGAGGTGCCCGAGCACCCCTGCGTCTCCCCCGTGTCCAACCACGTCTACGAGCGGCGGCTGATCGAGAAATACATCGCGGAGAACGGCACCGACCCCGTCAACAACCAGCCGCTCTCCGAGGAGCAGCTCATCGACATCAAAGGTGGCGGCGGGAGGGAGGGGGGGAATCGCATCGGTCCCCCCCATCCCCGGGGGAACCCCACTACGGGCTTCACCAGGGCGGGAACCGGGGGTTAATTAATGAGGTGCAGGATTAGGCCGAGAAAAAAAAGGTTTGGAGGAAGAGAGAGGCGGGGGTTGGGAGGGGAAATGAACTTGGCCTAATTTAGCTGCTCTGTTTGGGAGGGAGCTTTAAGCCCAGGTTGGGGTGCTGGCACCCCAAAAGAGGATTTTCCCCCAGGCATTAGTGAGCGATGCTCACCCTCAGGCAAACTGCCAGCCCCGAAAGCTGAGCCGCGGGGATCAGGGATGGGGTGGGGAGGGGCGTGAGGAGGTTCTCTGAAGGCATCACTTCAAGAATTTCACCAGGCAGTGGGTGTCTCTGGGTTTGCTTTTAATTTACAACTCAGAGTTGGGCTGTCACCTCCGTGAGTGGCAGAGAGGAGCTCAAAAAATACCCTCTAGATATAAAACTCTACAACATTTTGTAATTAATAATTGTCAGAAGAAATTCTCAGTGTTTTCCCACAAATCCTCAGGTTTCCATTCACCAGCAGTTTCAAAAGTCCAATCTATCTTCCTGTCCCAGTTGGTTCTTACTGTGTCTCAGTTCCTCTCTGTAGTTCGTGGTCATAGGCAGAAAATTCTTCGTTATACATCAAAGATCACCTTTGAACTTCTGAGAATTATTTAAGCTGTTCTAATAATTCCCACTTAATCTACGTCTGACCTATAATAGTTAATTTTTAAAGATCGCCTATTCTGAGAATCAATGAATTACTCTTAAATCTTAAAGCCAATGTGCATGCTGCTTCTTCTGTTGATCCAGTGGGACTGAGTTTTAAATCAGCCACGGCAAGGGCTGCACGTGGGACGAATGAGCGGCTTCTGCGTGTTGTTTTATAGAACACCTGCGTTCTCTTTAATACCTAGAACAATTCTTAATGATTTAGTTATAAACCCCCAAATTAATGAGGCTGAAGGCTTTGCTATCCGTTTCACGATCCGCTTGACGTCTCCCCGCTGTCTCGTTGCCAGTCGCCCACCCGATCCGACCCAAACCCCCCTCGGCCACGAGCATCCCGGCCATCCTGAAAGCCCTCCAGGATGAGTGGGTGAGTACCGGGTCCCCGCTTGGGCGAGCGGCCGAACACCGGTTCCCGGCCCTGATCCTCCCACGTTTCCCCTCTTTACCTCGTCCCCCTTCAGGACGCCGTCATGCTGCACAGCTTCACCCTCCGCCAGCAGCTCCAGACGACGCGCCAGGAGCTGTCCCACGCGCTCTACCAACACGACGCCGCCTGCCGCGTCATCGCTCGCCTCACCAAGGAGGTCACTGCCGCCCGAGAAGGTGACGCGAGGCTCAGTGGGGTGCTGCGGGTTTGGGGGAGCTGGTGGAGGACATCGAGCAGCGCGTGGCGGCCCGGCAGCAGGTCGCCGCCTCCTTTCTTCTGTTAAACACCCGGCTTTTCTCTGCCCCCACAGCTTTGGCGACGCTGAAGCCACAGGCCGGCCTCATCGTCCCCCAGACGGTGCCGTCCTCGCAGCCGAACGTGGCAGTGAGTCCTCGGCGCCTTTTCCCCGTGATCCCCCCCACCCCAGCCAATCTCCACTCGTGTCCCTCTTCCAGTTGTAACCAGCTCCTTTAACCAGCTCCTTTCTCCATCCCTCGCAGGGAGCTGGGGAATCCATGGATCTGGGAGAACTTGCGGGCATGACCCCCGAGATCATCCAGAAGGTCAGGGCTCTTCCTGCTTGCGCTGCTACAGCCCTCAGCACTGGGTCTTCCCCAGCTTTCCCCCCGTGGGAGCCCCGGTTGGTCTGTGACCACCCTTTTCTCATTTTACAGCTTCAAGACAAGGCTACGGTGCTGACCACGGAGCGTAAGAAGGTAAACGCCCTCGTTTCTCTCTGAAGAATCCACAGCAGCCGGGATGTACTGTGCCCCGAGACAGACAGGTGTTTATCTCCTCATGGTTTCCCTTTTTTTCAGAGAGGCAAGACGGTTCCAGAGGAGCTGGTGAAACCGGAGGAACTCAGCAAGTACCGGCAGGTCGCCTCGCATGTGGTGAGTGCCGTGATGCGGGTCAGGGCTCAAAAACCACGTAGCCAAACCTCTCCTGTGCTGCTTCGCAGTATCAACGAGCGACAGATCTGCTGCTGAGCCGGGCAAGGAGAGGATCCTGCCTCTCTGTGCCACAACCAGCAGGGACCTGGGCTGGAGGAGATACAGCACAGGCTCCCGCTGTCGGAATTAAACACCCTGGGCTCCCTTGAGGGCCTCTCGATTTCTTTTGGGGGGCATTTTTCTCGCTCGAGTCATTAATCTGGCGTCTTCCTACCTCATGCAGGGGCTGCACAGTGCCAGCATTCCAGGGATCCTTGCCTTGGACCTCTGTCCTTCCGACACCAACAAGATCCTCACCGGTAAGGAAACCTCCTCCTCTCACTGGGGTCTGCGTGGGGTCAGCGAAGAGTCTGCGGCTGCCCGGGAGCGGGTCCCTTTCTCTGCTTTTTTGGGATAGAGGCAGGGCAAAGGGGCGTGAGAGATTCTCTCACCTCATGGCAAAGCTTCTCTGGATGGCAATCCTCAGGAAAAGTGGGTGGACTCGGAGCTGGTTGGCCACAGACTCTGTCTCTCCCCACTCCCCACTTTGTTTTCCAGGCGGGGCTGATAAAAACGTCATTGTCTTTGACAAGAGCTCAGAGCAGATCCTGGCAACGCTCAAGGGACACTCCAAGAAGGTTACCAGTGTCGTCTTCCACCCGTCTCAGGTGCGCTCAGACCCACGCTCGGCTTCTTCCCTCACAGCCAGGCCGACCCAGATCGGGCTTTCAGGGCCCTTTCCTGCTTCTCTGTTCCACTGGGGTCTCCACCTCGCGCAGACTGAGTTCTTGCTTGTAGGGGAGCCCTTTCAAACAGAGAGATGGAAATCTTTTTGACGTTAACTTTCCTTGCCTAGGATTTGGTGTTCTCGGCTTCTCCTGATGCTACTATCCGGATCTGGTCTGTGCCCAACGCCTCGTGCGTGCAGGTCGTCCGTGCCCATGAGGGCTCCGTGACGGGGCTGAGCCTCCACGCAACAGGCGACTACCTCCTCAGCTCTTCTGATGACCAGGTGAGACCCAGCCCCCCTTATCCCGCTGCTTCTCATCTCTCCCTACTCAATGTGCCATTTCTCTCTTCCAGTACTGGGCTTTCTCGGATATCCAGACAGGTCGTGTCCTCACCAAGGTGACAGATGAGAGCTCTGGCTGTGGTAAGCTGAGTATCCCCACCCTGGGGAGCCTGCAGAGAAGGGATTTTTCTGCCCACAGGTCCCTGGGCTCCTGGAACTCACAAGAACTCGGCGGCAGGAGGCTGTTAACACCATCTGAAAAAATCCCCAACCCCTTTGCATCTCCCCTTTTGTCTTTGCAGCTCTCACCTGCGCCCAGTTCCACCCGGATGGGCTCATTTTTGGAACAGGGACGATGGACTCTCAGATCAAAATCTGGGATTTGAAGGTAGGGCTGCTGCTGGGGGTGCAAGGAAGAGCAGGAGGGGAACAGAGTGTTGGGGGGGTGTTTGGTTTGGAGCCCAGCAGAGTGTTCACTCCAAGGTGCAGCGCTCGGGAGCGTTGGGAGGCTTTGAGGCATTTTTTTCTGAGTTTTTCTCCAAAAACACAAAGCTTCAGCTCACGAGGGGCCGCTCCTGGCACCGTAACTGGCAACCGGGGGTTGATTTGTGCCAAGAAAGTGTTTGCTGTGTCCCCCGCCAGAGAATCGGTGAGGCGCAGGGGGGTTGGCAAGCCGGCTGCTGGGTGCGCCTGGGCCTCGCTCAGTCCCACGGCCGTGGATTTGTCACCACAGCCCCGCATCGGGGGGGAGCACAGGAGCAGCTCCGGCTGTCTGTGGGTCGCCTCTGGACTCCCCCATCAGCCTGTCGAGCTGCAGTTCAAGTCTGCGTTCACCCGCCGGCGTTAACTCTGAAGTGGACTGACGACACGGCGCCGAGCTGCGCTTGCAGGGAGCTTGCTCTCCGACCTCCCTGCCGGCAGCCTGTCTCTAATTGCTCTATCCCTAGGAACGCACCAACGTGGCCAACTTCCCGGGCCACTCGGGCCCCATCACCAGCATCGCCTTCTCCGAGAACGGCTACTACCTGGCCACGGCAGCTGACGACTCCTCTGTCAAGCTCTGGGATTTGCGTAAACTCAAGAATTTCAAGACATTGCAGCTGGACAATAACTTTGAGGTGGGTGACTGTCCCCTTTTCTCCCCTGCTTGGGTGAGCTCCTCTCTCAGCACCCACTGTCCCAGGCCTGCTCCCACCTGCGCTTCTCTGCTTTGGGGGATCCCGATGTGGGGGGTGCTGTCCCCCTAAAAAAACATTTAGAGCTTCCGAGACCTGGTTTGAAGCTTCCTTCCCCTTCTCCTCCTCAGGTCAAGTCTCTCATCTTTGACCAGAGTGGCACCTACCTGGCGTTGGGTGGGACAGATGTCCAGATCTACATCTGCAAGCAGTGGACGGAAATCCTCCACTTCACGGGTGAAGATCTGGGGTTGTGGGGAGGGGGCTGGATCTTCCCCCCCCGCCCTCTGGGGAGTGGGCAGGGGTCAGCTCCGCTCCTTGCCCTAACCCCGGGTTCTTTTCCCTCCCCAGAGCACAGCGGCCTCACCACAGGAGTGGCTTTTGGCCACCACGCCAAGTTCATTGCCTCAACGGGCATGGACCGGAGCCTCAAGTTCTACAGCCTGTAGCCCCGGACGTGGGGCTGGGGTCTCGCTGCCGTGCTGGGGTTTGGGGTGGGAGGGCGGGAGGGATTACTGGGGTAAGTGGGAGGCAAAATGGTTCATTACTTCTCCAGGCTCCCTTGCTGTAGCTTTTGTCAGAGGGGAAGTTGGATGTTGCCTTCCCCATGCTTCACGGCTTTGTTTTAGGTTGGGTTTTTTTTTTTTTTCCAGTTTTTGTGTGTTGTCTTTTCTGCCTTTAGATTCTGTTCTGTGGTTGTAACTGATACAACAAAAGGCTCCAACCCCAACGCTGGTGGGTGGTTGTGGCCGGGATGTGTGGAAGGAGGGAGGGAGGGGAGGACTGCGCAGGTTTTGTAAGCAGTTATCTAGTTTCATTATGGAAATAAAGAACTAGTCACTGTAGCGGTGTCATCCTGGGGGTAAGGCAGGTTCCTGTGAGGGGACAAGCTCCTGACAGGTGTGGGGTGGGATGAGTTTCAGCCGGGGGGGAGCTGGGAGTCAGACAGGGGACTGGGGACCCTCCTCTTCATCCTCCCATCCCCTGGGGACAAACACCGTAGTCTCCAGCTATGCACTTGTTTATTTTTCCAACTTGCCCGGGAGCTGCCTGGCTGGAGGCAGGAGCTGAGGAAGAGGAGGAGGAAGAGAGTTGAGTTAGAAGGGGGATGAAGGGAGAGGTGAGGGAGCAGAGGGACACTCACCCCACACCCTCGGGCTCAGCCTCGCTGCAGTTTGGGGACCTTGGGGAAGATGACAAGTCCCTGGGAGGTGACACTGCGCACGCCTTCGGCTGTCCTGGCCCCCAGAGCCCGCCGTGCTCCTGGTTTGGAAAGCCAGAGGGGTGTGTGTAAGGGGGCGGGGGGGTTGGGGGTGTCTGTCCCTTTTGGGGGGTGTCAGGCAGGAACTGGTGGCACCCCAACTTACGCGAGGGCACTCCCAGCTGGCAGGAGGGCCGGCAGGGCTCAGGCTGGGCGAGGTGGCAGACGGAAGCGCTGCATGAAATGTAAACCTAGAAACCAGCCGTGGGCCAGCATCAGAGCTGAGGTGGGCGAGGGGGAGGGGAACACCCCCAAATGCTGAACCCCAACCCCTCCACACATTCCACCACGCCCCGCCTTCCCAACCCCTTTCACCTCTCCCTCCAGCACCGCCATGGAGGGCGGCTCCACAAAGGTGAAGGTGGAGATGACGAAGCGCTGGTAGTGGCTCGGGAAAGGCAACTGGGGTGAGGCCGGTCCCACGGGCACGAGCTGGGTCCTGTAGTTGTCCCCTGTGAAGGGACACCTGGGCGGGCGAGAGGGACCCTCGGTTGATTGGGGTGACCCCCCCCACCTCTCCCCGCTTCCTATCCCCTCCTTCTCTACTCACCCATCCACCAGGATGGGCCACTGAGGCTCGGCCGCGGCGTCGGGGCTGGGGGCTGCCCAGCAGTGGTGCAGGACCAGCACCAAATTGGGGTCTGTTTTTTGGAGGAGGCGAACCTCCACGTAGATGGGGTCCCGGAGCACCCTCACCAAGGGGTAGTCACCTTCAGGGTGGTACGAGCTGTAACTCTCATCTGCAGGAAGGGTGAGAGAGGCTGAAGAGGGGTAGGGAGGGTGGTAAATTTGAGGAGGGAGGTGTGGGGGGGTGCTGCTCACCAGTAGCAATGCGGAGTTGGAGCCCGAGCGGCCCCGGCATGGCCAGGGGGGTGGCTGTGGGGGGCACGGCCACCTCCATGCGAAGGGGCAAGAGGTCGCTGGCATTGTAGATGCAACGAGCTTGGAGGCTGAGGAGGGGAGGGGGCGGGGGGAAGCAGAGGGGATCTCAATGCCCCCTGCACCCCATCCCCACAGCATCAGCCGGAGGGGTGGGCACCCCCCCTCCTTGGGTCATCTGCCACGGGGGTCCCCGGTCCCAGCACAGAGAGGGGGGGAACTGGATGGGTTTTGCTGAGGGGGGGTCCCGGCTTTGCCCACCCTCCTCTTACATGTAGATGCTGTCCCGAGTGACGGAGCCACGGGGGGACCCCTGGACATCAAGGGTCGAGATCAGCTGGTTCTCATAGATCAACCGGTCCTCGATCACCTTGGGGGGGGGGGGGGGGGATGCACACATGGGGTGAGGGTCCCTACCCCCACTCTGAGCAGCTTGAAGTTGGGGGGATTAAAACATCCCTACCTGGACGGTGGTGCCGCACTGCGTGACGGGGAAATGGAACATCACGAAGGTCTCGGTCACCCGGAGGGGCTCGCAGCCCGGCTGGGTGCTGGCAAGGCGCACGCTGTCCAGGTTGTAGGGCTGGGTGGCGAGCCCCCGCGGCACCACCAGCACAAAATTCCCGTCCCGCAGGCACTGCACCGTGGCTGCGGCACCCACTCTGTCAGCAACAAGGACCCACAACCCCCCCGGAGGTCCCCAGGGACCACCCCCCCTTCCTCCCGAGCATCCTACCCGTGTTGCCGTAATAACAGGGTGCCACGCGGTCCATGTCATCGTAGCAGCACCCCGCTTGCAGGCACGCCTCCCGGCCCTGGGGGGCCACGCAGAGCATCCTCCCCACCGCTACCTGGCACTGCTCCCGTGTCAGCTGGGTGCCTGGGGTGACGGAGAGAGGGGACGCTACCCTGAGCATCCATCCCCCTGCCAAAACATCGGCCCCTCATGGCTTGTGACCTCCTGCTCCGGGGACAGGGAGGACCCAGCCCCGCTCGCACCCCTCCATCCCACCCCATCGGCTTACCCGCCCCTGCCGAGGGGTAGAAGAGCGCCGTGGATTGCAATAAACTGGGCTGGGATTGGAGCCCAGGACGCAGCAAACCAGGCTGGGCTTGGGGTTGAAGTCCTGGACGCACTAGCCCCGGCTGGGGCTGAGCCTGAAGTCCAGGACGAATAAAACCCGGCCGGGACTGGAGTCCTGGGCGCATTAGACCCGGTCGGGAATGGCCGGGGTGTACCAGCCCAGTTTGGCTCTGCAGAGCCGGGCGGACCAGACCTGGCTGGGACTGGGAGCCGGGGTAAGGCAGCCCAGTTTGGCTCTGGAGCCCAGGGCGGAGGAGCCCAGTTTGGGAGTGAGTCGGAAGGCCAGGGCGAGCTAAGCCTGGCTGGCTTTGGGGCTGAGCTCCTGGCCGTACAAAACCTGCTTGAGTCTGAGCACCAGTGTGCATTAAGCCAGACTGGACGCTGTGGGACACCAACCCGGGCTGGTTTTGGGGTACAATCCCTGGCCGAAGAAGACCTGGCTGGGGCTGGGCTCCGGGGTGCACCAGCCCAGGCTGGTTTTGGCTCTGAAACCCTGGGCGAAGAAGACTTGGCTGGCTTTGAACTCCGGGGGGCACCAGCCCAGGCTGGTTTTGGCTCTGAAACCCTGGGCGAAGAAGACTTGGCTGGCTTTGAACTCCGGGGGGCACCAGCCCAGGCTGGTTTTGGCTCTGAAGCCCTGGGCGAAGAAGACTTGGTTGGCTTTGAACTCCGGGGTGCACCAGCCCAGGCTGGTTTTGGCTCTGAAGCCCCGGGCGAAGGAGCCCGGGCTGGGGCTGAGTCCTGGGGCGCTGGGCTGGGGGCTGCATGCCGGGGCGTATTAAACCCTGCTGGGGTGGGGTGATGGGGCGAGCCTGGCTAGGCTGGGTCTGAAGCCCTGGGCGAGAATGGCCAGGCTGGGGCTGCAGCCCTGGGGGCACCAGGACCGGCTGGGTGTGAGCCACAGGGTGAACAGGCTCCGAGTGGGCTTGGGGAGAGATTTGGGGTCCTGGGAGGGTGAGGGTGGACTGAGACACATGGTGCAGGAGGCCAGGCTGGGACAGGGGGACGAGGACATCAGCCTGGGTCTGGTGGACGCCGTTGCCCCGATTGGCTTGCTGGTTGAGGCGTGGGTTGCCACCCGTGAGGATCTCATAGTCCGCCGGCTGTGGGCAGGTCATGTTGACTTCATAAGAGGCGGCCGGGACCCCGCTGAGCAGCATCTCCTCCAGCTGCACCCTCAGGACGTAGCGGTCCTCCTGCGGTGGGGTGGGAGGGACTGTTACCCCCCCATCATCCCCCCGCCCCAAAGCCCACGGGCACCCAGGGGGACAGCAGGTGGGACAGCAGCCTCACCTTCACCAGGACGTGGCAGCCCTCGTAGCCGGAGGAGAAGATGACGGCACCGTCTGCCCCGGCGTTGAGCCAGTGGAGGCAGATGGAGCAGTTGGCCACGTCGAAGCGGGTGCCAAATTCATCTGCGGGGACCCCCGTGGGCACAGGGTGACACAACCGGGTGCCGTGACGCTCCCTGGGGAGGCAGGCACACAGAAACACCCCCCCGCCTCCCACACACACACTCCAACAGCACGGCCCCACACCAAAAGCTCATTCAAGCCCTTGCGCTCATCCCATCAGTGCACCAGCACCCCAAAGCACTCGGGTTTTGGGGTAACCCCAGGGTGAGCCAGCACACCTCACCCTAAGGAGAGCCCCGAGGGGGGGTGTATGTGTGTGGGGGGGTGATGCCTGCTTGCCCCCCACTCACCCAGGACTTTGAAGCGGACGGTGCGGCCGCGGGTGGGGTATGCCAGCAGTTGCATGCCGTAATCCCCGCAGTTGTAGTGGTACCGCAGGAGGGAGAAGGCGGCTCCCGGCCCCGGGAGCTGAAGGAGAAGCAGCAGCAGGAAGAAGGAAAAGCTCCGACCCATGGCGGTGGCGGCGAGTGAGGCCGGAGCAGGGGGCTCTCCGTGGAGGGGAGGTAGGGTGGGAGCTGTGGATTTATACCCGGCCAACTGGGACGTGGTGGTGGTGGTGGGGATCAGATGACCGATGGGGCCGTGCCGTGCCAGGATGAGCTCTGGCCAGGGCTCCTCGCTCCCCTGCCACCGGTGACCGCGCTGCCCCAGCCCTGCGGTCACCTCCCGGGGCCGTGCCAGGGTGACCGGGGAGGACCTGAAAGTTGGCCGAAGAACGTTTGTCCCACGGCGGGGGAGAGACTGTCCCTGCGACTGGGGAATGGAGACGGGATGCCCAAGATGGACCAAGGCAACTGGGCAGGAGGAGGGGGCTGGTAAGTGCCCACCTTCTCCCCCCCAAAACTTGCCACCAAAGCCTTGGGAGGGGGTTGTCACAAGCCGGTGGGGGACAGCGGTGGCACCTGGCTCCCCAAGGGAGTCACAGCAGCCGTGGGACTGGGAGCCTGTGGAGGGACTGGGGGAGCATGGCAGCACGGTCCTGGTGAGGTCTGGGGAGGGGGGACTGGTCCGGGAAGGGGATAGTTTTCCCCAAATCCGCCCCCCCCCCCCAAATGGCTGCACGCCTGGATCTGCCCCGCTGGCAGTGCCATGGGAGAACCGAAAGGCTTTCAAAAACCACTTTGTCCCGCTGAGGCGAGGAGTTGGGAGAAACTCTTCCTGCAAATGGAGAACCAAGGCTGCTGCCCCGAGTGTGGCACAGGGCTGGGGGGGGGGGGAAGGGGGGTGTCACCCAGGCTGCTCGTGTGTGTCCCCCCACCAAAGGTCCCCTCAGGAAGGCAAACAGGGAGCAAACAGCACAAAGTCAGAGCTGAGTTTCACCAGTGCCCCAGGACAGGGAGGAAGGACCTTGGTCCCTTCGGGTGGTTGCTGAGCGCAGCACTTTGTGGCTTCCCTCTGCCTCCCCCCGCCCCCAGAAATTTCCCTTCTGGGTCTTATCTTTATTGCAGATTATTGTGACAGTCACAGCCGGTTCATGCACCTTGCCCTGGCACATGGCCCGTGCCAACGTGCCCGGTTGCCATCCTCCAGCCCAGCTGCTAGCCTCAGCGTTTTTTGGGGGGGGGGAGGATTTAAAACCCTCGTGGGAGCCACTGTCCTCGGCGTCCCCAGGGGAAAACCCACCCCCGGCTTGGTGCAGACACGGGGACCACGCCAGCTCCCACCGCCTCGCACCACCAAACCCAAGCTCATGGTGAAAGGGTGCGCGGAGCTGGGGGGGTTTGACCATAGCCCCCCCCTAAAACCTCAACCACCTCATTAAACAGTGTAGTTGTGCCTATATCTGTACTTAAATATACATAGGGGGTCCTCTTGTGCGCCATTGCAGGGACCTGGTGCCCCCACCCCACGAGCGCAGGCAGGACCGGGCAGATCGGCTGGCAGGGTGCACTTTATTGAGTGGGGCAACAAGCCTGGGGGGGGGGGGAGGGGGGAAGGAAATCCCCAGCCCCCTTTCCCCCCCCAAATCCCTGCAGCCATCACAGCTTCATGGTGGCGGCGGGGCCCAGGTGAAGCTCCAAGAACTGGATGATCTCTTGCCATGAGTGTTCCTGAGCCTTGGCATGGGCTTGGGCTTCACCCCCCCACACCAAGGGCCGGGGGCTGCCCCGGATGCTGGAGCTGCTGCAAAGGGGTGAACCGGGGGGCTCGATCAAGTGCCCGGCCCCGGGGTAGGAGAGGAGGCGACAGCTCTCCGGTGGCATCCGTGCCATGGCCAGCTCAGCGAAGAGCTTGCTGTTGAGGCTGCGGTCAGCTTCCCCCACCACGAAGAGGACCTTCCCTCGGATCTTCTCAGTCGGGATGGCCGAGGTGCTGTACGCGGGGTCCTGGGGGTCGGCGAAGATGGCCATGTTGTCCAAGGCCCCCATCTCCGTGATGATCACGCGCTCGGCTTGGTAGGGGATGGGGGGAATGTGGAGATCCTTGTAGACCAAGGGGTTGCCGTGGAGGAAGGCTGTGCCGTTGATCCACACCGTGGCCACCACCTGCGGGAGGAAGGTGGCCATGGCCAGGGCCACCTCTGCTCCTTTGGAGACGCCAACGACGCCCAGGCCAGGGCCTCGCACCTGCAGCGGGGGGGAATGGAGCCAGCTGGCAGCACCACTCGCTGGGACGTCACTGGGATGTCTCCAGTCACCAGAACAACCCGCTTGCTGGAACATCCCTGGTCACCAGGATGTCCCTGGTCACCGGGATGTCCCCATTCACCAGGACATCCCAGCTTGCCAGGACATCCCCAGTCACAAGGACAATCCGCTTGTTGGGACATCCCTGGTCACTAGGACAATCCACTTGCTGGGACATCCCTGGTCACTAGGGTGTCCCTCTCACTGGGATGTCCCCAGAATACCTCCCTCACTGGGACATCCTGCTCACTGGGATGTCCCCAGTCACCAGGACATCTTGCTTGCTGGGACATCCCTTGTCACCAGGACATCCTGCTCACTGGAATGTCCCTGATCACGAGGACAACCCGCTTGCTGGGACATCCCTGGTCACCAGGACATCCCTGGTCACTAGTACATCCCTCTCACTGGGATGTCCCCAGTCACAAGGACATCTTGCTTATGAGGATGTCCCTGATCCCCAGGACATCCCACTCCCCAGGACGTGCCTGCTCACAGGGTCCACCCACCGCACCACAGGGCTAACCTTGGGGTGCTGGAGGAGCAGCTTGGCCGCCTCCTCAAAATACTCCAGGTCGAGCCGGGTCAGGGTGCGGGGCAGGTCATCGTAGGCGAAGAAAGCCAGCGCCAGCACAATGAAGCCCCGGCTGGCCAACAGCCCCGCGCGAAACTCAATGAGACCACCTGCACCCCCAAACAGGTCGATCACCCCCGGGAAGGGTCCTGGTCCTGCAGGCAACCAGAGAGACCGTCACCGATGAGGGGAGAGGAGCCATCAGTGCCATCCCACGCCCCGGGACATCCCCAGCTGCTAGGACAACCCACTCGCTGGGACATCCCGAGGTTCCCGGCACCCCGTTTCTCACCAGGTGGCAAGAAGAGGGCCCCCCGGACCCTGCCCTCCCGGATGGGCACCCGCTGCACGCCGGGACCCACGTACCACCGCTCGGCCTGGCAGGAGGCCAGCGGCTGGTCTTGGGGGCCGGTGACCAGGTGGAGGCCATCGAAGACTTCCAGATGGACGAGGAAAGGGCTGCCGGTCACGTCCCGCTTGACCAGGCGTCGGAAGAGGGTGTCGGGCTGGAGGAACCAGAAAAGCCCCATAGGCCAGACGCCAGCGTAGCTGCCCCCCAAGGCGGCGTGGCGCCCAGGGTCCACCTCGCCCGCCTCGTCGGCGCGGAAGAAAGCGCGGGCTTGGAAGCGCTCGCCGTGCTCGTCCGTCAGCGCTGCCCGTAGGGTGACCAGCTGGGAGGGGGACAGACCCCGGACTTGCACCCGCACCGGCCGGTCAGCCAGCGAGGTTTGCGGCGTCACCGTCACCTCCACCATGGTGCACCTGGGGATGGAGAGGAGCATCATCCCCCTCCCCATGGCGAGTAGCCCACGCCGGGCACCACGGTTGCCCAGCCCAAGGAGGTGGGGGGCATTGTTTGCGGGGGGGGGGGGGCACACCACGGGCTGGCAGCGGGGGACTGTCCCCACGAGGGGCCATGGGGGTTTGGTGATCACACGCTGGGGTTCCAGTCCTGCTGCCATCCCTCCTTCCCTTGGTCTTTGTCCCGCCCCCCCCCCCCCCCCCCCAAAAAGTCACACAGCGCTGCGTCCCTCCCCAGCACCTCCCACCTTCTTTTGATCCCACCCACCCCCATGCAGCAGCCCCCCCAAATTTCCCCACCAGCAGGAACACCCCTTTTCCTTCCGTCCCCCCAGCACCCACCCTACCCTCTCCCCATCCTCCTCCTCTGCACCCCAAGGCCAGACGGGGCCAGGGGGGGTGTTTGGGAGCAGTGGCCAGGGCCCCCCCCGAGTCCTGTGAAGACCCCAATTCCCTTCCCCGTAGGCCACGGCACCGCGCACAGAGCCTGGCGAGGTGCTGGCCCCAAGCCCAGTCCTGGGAGGAGACACCGAGTTCGCTCCACCACGAAAACAATACCCCCTCCCCCCCAAAAAATAAAACCTCGGCTGCCTCCAAGCCCCCCGTTTCTTACCTGTCCGGGGGGGGTGGGGAAGGCAGCGCTGGTGCCGTGGCGCTGGGGAGGGAGTGGGTGGGGGAAGGCAGAGTTCTGCCTGCCCCGCGCTCCCTTCGATTGCCTCAACAATCATTAACCCGGTGGGAGCAGCGAGGGCAAAACCCTCTTGCTGAGCCAGAGCGCCGCCCCCCCCCCCGGCCCCGCACCCCATAACTCCTTCTAGGCCCTCCCTGGGGCACCTCTCTGTGGTGGGGGGCTGCCCTGGGTGCAGGTGGGAACCCCCCCCCCCCCAATTGCTCCTCAGCAGCAGCAACAGGGAGCTCTGCCAGCGCCTGGGATTAACCCACCCCCACGCTTCACTCTGACTCGGGGGGGTGTGTGTGTGGGGGGGGAACACACAAGACCAGCACCCCCCACCCCTCCTAAAACTGGGGGGCCACAAGCTCGTTGCCCCCCCCCCCCCCCCCCGATGAAGTTCACAGGCCCCCCCACACCAAGGTTCCCCATTGCGAGTAAAGGCTTTTCCTCCCTGCACCCTCATCTTTGCCCACCCAGTGCCACCCTTGGGCGCCCCCCAAGTCTGTTGCGTCGTGTCCCGTCCCTCCACCCCCCCAATTCCCTCTGTCTGACTCACAGCGGGGCCGAATACACAGCCTCCAACAGGAATGCAAAAAGGTGAGTTTTACAAATCACGAAAAAACAGGTAGGTGAAAGAAATCTCTGTGGGTTCCCCACCTCAAAGCCCCTTTCCTTCCAGTTCGCCCCCCCAAACCCACCCTGCAGCAGTTCTGCCCCCTAACACCCCCCAAAAAGGGGAACAGGACTGCACCCCCCCCAATCCCCACAGCGCAGTGATGTGCTCCCTCCCTCCAGGGCTCATTCCCAGGGGGGTGAGACCCCCACACACTTTTTGAGAAAGGGGAGCCCCTGTGACCCCTGGAAAGATCTGCCTTGGCAGAGGGAAAGCCCCATGCTGGAACCACCAGCCTCCCCCTCCTCATCCCCACTAAGACATCTGCGAGGTGAGTCTGCGTCAGTTCCTATTAATTTTTATCAAGAAAAAGCAAATTTGGGCAGGTGAAGCAGTTCTTCCAGCTGCCAGCAACACCCCAACTTCCCCAGGTGGGGTGTGTGTGGGGGGGGGGATCCAGAAGCCGGTTCCTGCGGGTCGTGGCGCTGCGTAACCCGTCTCGGCTCTGTCCCGCTGTCTGTCCAACACCGAGGGCCCGGGCAGCGACTCCTGACCCCCAAGATGAGGAAAAACCCTCAAAGAGGACCGGGAACCCCAGAAATCCCGGCTGGCTGGGCCGGGCAGCACGGTGCCTCGTCTCCTAGCTCACTCCGCGCTTGTTTTGCGCCGCACGGGTGTTTTTTGAAGCAGGGCCAGCGTGTCCCGTTTCTCCACCCGCCGCAGCTGCTTCTTCTTCGCCCGTTTGAGCTTCAGCGGGTTCCGGATCTGTTTGGGGAAGGGGGTGAAGGGGAAGAAGGGGCTTTCAGGCACAGAAACCACACCAGAGGGAGCCAGGCAGGGATGGGATTTTCCTCCTCCTCCCACTGCCGAAGCAGCGGATGTAGCAATGACCAATGTCTGTACACGAAGCCACCCGGCTCCTGATCAGATTTATCCTAAAATTCGTCCCTGGGAACGTCTCTAAGTTGTCCCAGTTCTTGTGCTGGGGGTGGGGAACAGGTAACCACATCCTCACCACCATCACCCTGAGCTCCTGGGTCTCTTCCAGATGGAAAAGCCACAATTTCCCCATAGGAAATCCCAGCTTGGATCCCCGTTGATGCCATTTCCCTCGGTCTATTGCCCCACATGCCAGCAATCCCCGGGGTGTCCCCCTTGTTTTTTTAAGAAGCTTCCCTCCACCTCAGCAGAGGAATCACTTCCTCCTGGAGTTTGGTTGGATTCCCCCAGTCCTCCCAGCGCCACTCAAAGGAGGAGCCAGGGGGTGGAACTGGTACAAACTGGAGGCCAGGTTGGTCTGGAGGCCGCTGGCTCTGCCAAGCCACTGCGGTGTCCCCAGCCCGGTGTGGGGCCACAACTCACCACTTGGACAATTTCCGCCTTCCGCTCATTCTCCAGGCGCCGCTTCAGGTTCTCCTCCCGTCGCCGTTTCTTTTCCTACAGGAGAAAAAAACCCACCTTCTGCTGCAGATCCCTCCCTCCGGGTTTAAACCCAAACCAGTGTCGGCATCAGCTCCGGGTGGACACTGGTTAAGTTGCTCACCCCGTTACCTCTCGCTCTCTCTGTTTTCCCTCCTGAAGCTGCCGTGCCAGGTCCCGGATGAGCTTCCTCTCCTGTCGTTCCTTCATCTTCCTCGCCCAGGAGGTACGAAGGGCTTTGTCCTGAATCATGTGTGAGAACCTGGGCCGGCAGCCGGGCCGTGTCAGGCGCAGGAGGAGGCAGAGCCGAGCTCCCCGGGCAGCGTGTGGGGGGGTTGTCACAGAAACCCAGCGCACCCTTCCTCGCTCTGCCCCCTCCCCAGAAACTCCTCGGGCCACAACGCTGCAAAACTCCCCTAATTCAGAGCTTCCCTCAGCCCCTCGACACACCCTCTGCTCAGGACCTCCACCTTGAGCAGCCCCGTCCCGTCCCCACCCCCCAACCTGGGTCCTCCCTAAAGCCTACGGATAGCTCCCCAGTCCCCTTACAAACTGGGAGCGCTGCCCTCCCGGGTCAACTCACCCCCAAAACACCCCTGTGTCCCCCTACTCCCCGCTCTTCCCCCTCCCCTTGAGCTCAAGAACCCCCAAACAACCAGAAACCTCCACCAATCGCGTGTCGTGTCGTGTCGTGGCCCCGCGCCCACCTCTTTTTCCCGGGGTCCTTCCACACCCGCCCCGACTTGGGCCTGCCCCGCGGGATGGCTGCCGCCGCTTCCTTTCGCTTCTTGGCGGCTTTCGGGCGCCGCCGACCCGGGGCCGCCCCACTGGGCTCCTCGGGGCTCCGGGCCGAGGCCTCCGGGCCCTCCCCCTCCATTCCCCCCCACGCGCCTTCCCCTTCCCCGGCGGCGCCGCGCGATGACGTCAGAAGCGCGCCGCGCACCCGCCACCGCGCCCATGCTCAGAGATGAAGCGTGACGCCCCCGCCGCCATTTTAGTATCGGGCAACACCTTCCTCTCCCCCCCGCCTCCCCGAGGACGCCATCTTTGTGCCGGGCAGCCCGTTGGCGGTGCCCATCATCGTGTCGTCGCGGCGGCTTGTGCCCGGTGCTTTCCCCCCCCGCCCCAAACCGGTGATAAACACCCCCCCCCCCGCCCTCTGAGCGAACCCCGGAGAGATGCGTGGCCTCAGCTGTGGGGAGAGGAGGCTTTTACTGGGCGCCCAGCGTGCGCTGGGGCTAGGGTGCACGGTGGCTTCTCATCGGGTTTGGCCGCCGCTACAGCGCCTGGGAGAGGAAAAAAAGGGGGGGAAATTCTGCTTTTGGGGTGACGGAGAGACACCCCCCCCCCCCCCCAGCTCCATGCCAGGTGTCTAGCAGCCCTGCCACTGGCTCAGCCGCCCTCACCATGCGCCTGTAGTCGTGCTGCTTGACGGCAGCGTAGCCGAAGGCCAGGGCTGCCACCGCCGCACAGAACTCCAGGAGGCTGAAGAGGACGAAGATGGAATCCAGCCCGTCGCTCAGCATCTGCAAGGAGGGGGGAGCGGAAGGGTCCTGGGGCGTCCCTCGCTCCCCCCCCCCCCATCTCCCTTTGGCGAGGAAGGGCAGCCCAGATTGCAAATCGCCACTTCAGCGGCCGCTTGGAGAGGGACCGGGAGGCTCTACCTTGGTCTCGGGGCTGGAGCACCAGTCGGCTTTCAGCAGGAACGGTGCCTTGGCCTCGCAGCCGGGGCTGTCACGGACGATGGCTGTGGTGTGGACCAGCGTGGCTACCAGCGTGCTCAGTATGACGCCCGCGTTGAGGACGCAGCAGGTCTTCACCTGTGTGTGTGTGTGGCGGGGGGAATATGTCACCTCGTGTCAGCCGGCCCTTCTCCTCTTGCCAGGAGCCCTGCGGGTGACAGTGTGATGCCCACCCTCCCAGAGACCCCCTGTGAGGTGACAGAGGCTGCCTGGGGTGTGAACTGCCTGAGCAGGGATCCCTCCGAGCTGGATTATTCAACTCGAGTCAAATCTACTCTTGGAGAAGCCACCCGGGGCAGCCACCCTCCATGATGCCTTTCGTCCCCGTCCTCCGAGAGGGACTCCACCAGGCCCCAAGCATCTTGTGGAGGTCCTGAAACGTGAAGGATGGCCCACCTCCTGCTCGATGGGGAGAGAGCTGGGCACCTCCAAGCCTTGGGTGCCTCACTCTAGACCCTGCGGGGTGAATCTGGGCTGCGGAGGGGCCCCACCAGCCGCTAGAAGGGTCAGAAGTCACAGAAACTATGGGGGGACAATTTGTCCCTCCTAGCCTGGCCGCAGGGGACCCCCTTACCAGCAGGATATTATCTCTTTTTTCAGTTTCCACCAGCAGAGAGCCTGAGACCAGGAGCTGCTCAGAAAACAGAGGAAGGAACGCGTCAGCAGCAAGGCATCCCTCTCTTGTCACCCATCCTGCACATCCCGGTGTACCTCCGGCTGTGAATCGGTGTTTGGGGCTTCACATGCACCCCCTCTGTCCCCAGAGAGGAAAGCCGGAAGATGCGGATGTGAGAGGAGGCCTTGGGGATGAGGGAATCTGGTCCCCAATCCACCGAGATCCCCCTGTCCCTCATGGGATGATGAGGAGGTGAAAGCACGTCCCAGCTTACCAGGAGCCCGAGCCAGAAGAGGATCCCACTGGCCACAGGAAGGGAGGGGTTCCTGTGCTCTGAGGCTGTCAGGATGATCCCAAAGCAAATGTGGATGATCCCGGTGAAGATGTGGATGGTCTGGGAAAGGATGGGGGAGAGAGATCCCCCCAGTCACTCTTGGCCAGTCTGCCAGCACCGGCAGAGGGTGGATATCACCATTGCCATTAGCCGTGTCCCGCCCCACTCCCTCTGTCACACCACATCCTGGCAGGATAAGTATCCCTGGGGATACTCAGTCCCTGCTTTGTCCCTGAGGTGCCCCGTGACCCCCCCACCCCGGGGACGCCATGTCTCACCCCTAGCGCCTTGGGCTGAGCCCTTCGGAAGCTTCGGACTTGAAATGACACCGTGGCGGGTGCGGGCGGCCTGGAGCCCGGGGCCAGCTGGGCCGCTCGAGGGTCTGTGGCCGGGATGACCTCCGTGACGATCCTCATGCCCCCGGAGTCGGTCACCGTGGTGGCTGCCATCGCCTGTGGGCAGAGCGGGGCTGGGGAACCGGGGCGGGCAAAGAAGCTGAAGGACCAAGCCAGCTCCCACCCTGCTGAGGACCGCCGCGGCGACACAAGAAACACTGACCTCTTACAAGGATGTCCCCCCACCCCATCCTGCACCCCACGCCTCGCCCCCCACCCTCATACCTCCTTCAGCTTGGGCTTGCCTTCTTCCTCCTCCCCCGCGGCCGCCGTTAGCGAACCCTTTGCTGTCCGAATCTTCCCCGGGTGGTGGTGGTCGGGCAGGGACGCGGTCCTGCTGCCCTTTGCTCCCCGCAGGAAGTTTGTTCGCGGAAATCTCGTCAGGCCCCTCTTGCTCAACGAGGCGGCTTTGCCAGCAGAGGGGAGAGAGGCTGGCAAAAACCCCGCATGCACCTGGCCCAGGGGAGAGGGAGGCAGGGAAACGAGGCTTGGCAAACCCGAGGTGGGCACCCCCTCCAAGGAAGAGGAAGGGCTTGGATGTGTGTCCCTCGGGATGCTCCGAGGAGGAGACACACACCCCCCTCCCAGTCTTGGGCGAGTGCTCTCCAACCCCACTTGCAGTTGCTTTACTTGGGCATCGTCTTTGCAATTAGCCACGTGCCAGCCCTGGCAGAGTCTTAACGAGGTGCTCGGAGGTTCATTTGGCTGCCCTCGTTAGGGTCACTACAAGACAGCCAGCCCTTGCAGTTTCCCTTACAGGGATGAAAAAAAACAGTGTGAAACAGGCCATGGCACAAACATTATAAGCCCCGTTAGTCTAGAAAGGCCCCAAGGAAGCTCCTTTATTGCTTTTTTTATTTTCTTTGGGGTTCTCCTTCCTTCACAACCATGGGTCTGTCCCTGGTGAGGACAGCCCACCCACAGGAGTGAGCCGGGGGGGAGCGGCAGCACGGCCTGCGGTGCCGGACGGCTCCGGCGGGACCCGAAGGGAAAGGAGATGCGGTTGTTTCCGTTAGGAAATGAGAGCTCAGCCTGGGAACGGAGCCACCGCACATGGCGAGGAGCTCCCGAGGGGCGAGCGCAGAGGCCCCTTCTTCCCTCCGCCGGCCACCGGTCTCCGGGTCTGCCAGAAAACAGCTATTTCCTTCGTGGTCACCGTCCCCCATCTGCTCGCCGGGAGGGCTGGGGTCCTCCACGCCGGCCTGCGAGGACCCCCCAGCTTTCCTGGATGATCGATGGGTGCGGGGGGTAAGACCCCGCTCGGGCTTTTTGTCTCCCTTGGAGGCTGTGAATATCTGCCCACCACCCGAGGCTTTCATCTGAGCTGTTTCTTGGTGAAACAGGAATATTTAGGTACAGGGTTCTGGCATCTCTGAGCTTGGCCACAAGCAGCTAGGGCCCCGTTGGTGGCCACGGGTGTCACCAGAGGTGGGAGACCCTAACACCCCTGTCTCTGCCCGAGCCTCTCCCTGCAGACCCAGGGAAGGCCGGGACCCTCCACAGCCGGGTTCCAGCTGAGGATTTTTCGGAGCAGGTGGAGGAACTTTGGGAAGTGCTTTTTCCTTTCTTTTGGCCCTAGAGGGAGCTGAGACGCCTGGTTTGGCAGCACACGGCTTCTAGAGCTCAGCAGAAGTTTCCAGCGCTGGGACCAGCAGTGGGGCGCGATCCCCAGTGAGGGATACAGGGCAGGAGCCCCCCCATCCCGGGGGAAACCAGGGGATCGGTGGTACCAAAGCCGGGCACAGGCTGTAGGGCACAGAAAGCCGCCACATCTCGGTGTCTCCCGGGAGGACCAGCAGCACGGCCGGGGCCTCAGCTCTTGCATTTGCAGAGACGCTGGAGTGAAACCATCTGGTTTCCCCCCGCAGACCCGCTGTGTTTCTCCAAGGACTTTTCCAAAAGCTTTTCTTTACATCCCCTTCTGCACGGGCTGGAAACCAAGGGACTGACCAGCGGCTAACTGGGGTGATGGCCACGAGCCTGGGAGCGGGATGGTACCACAGGATGCCAAGCAAGCCTCAGCAAGCCGAGCTGCGGGGTCGCAGCTCCCCCCCTTGTCCCATTTTGGGTGCTTACAGCCGGATCCTTTCCTTGTCTGTTGGCTGAGGGAGCACAGTCGGTCTGTGCCCTCCCCACGCGCCGGGGAGCGGGAGGATTTTTGGCACAGCAGCAGGAGTTGTTGGCTTCAGAAGATTTGCCTGTAGCTGGGGTGTAGGGAGGGGGGGAACGACTCCCACCAAACCAACCTAAATCAGGTCTTCAGAAAAGAACCGGCAGGACAGACAGACCCGGCCAACAAGGAGCAGCGAGGGACTCGCGTCTCCACCCCGGCGCCTGGCTGGGCTCACGCTGCCTCCGGGCAGGCAACCGGGAGGAGAGGGCTCGCCGGGCTCCTCAGCCCACCTGCATCCCCCCCATCCCACGGTGGAAAACGTCTGGCAGAGAAAAAGCTGCGGGTGAGGAGCTGCCGCTGGCGTTTCCCCATCCCACAGCCCCGGCGGGGGAGCGAGCCCTTGGCCTTGTAAAGGGCTGCAACTGGCGGCACGGCTTTCCAGGAAAAACACGGCGATGGATGAGATTCAACCGCACCTCTTCATCGCACTCCTCTTAGCCTTTAATTTTTGCTTTAACCCAGCAGCGTGTCTCTCCGGAGGGAGAACCTCTCTCAACACCCCGATGCTAACGAGTCCCGCGCTGGCTCGGATCTCATCCAGCCCCGGCAGCGCCCGCGGGGTAAGGAACACTTTAGCACCCGTGGAAATGCTGGGATCCCCTCTTTAGCCTTTCTGGTGTCCTCCAGCATTAGCGACGGCTTGTGTTCCCAGCCGAAACCGCCCGCTACGGTGGATTTCCTCCCAAATCCGCCTTTTCAGATTCCTAAAGCATTCCTGAAGTTTCAGCCTTTCAGCCAGAAACAGCCGTGACTGCCCTCGGCCCAGCAGCTGGGCTTGGTGAAGCAAAACCCCTTTCCGAGTGAGGTATCCGTGGAAAAAGTGCTTTCCCCTTTCTAAATAAAGCCAGGTCCAGCTGGGGATGGCAGGAGCCCAAGGTAGGATGTTACGATTTATTTTGGAAACAGATGCCAGAGGAGGTGAAGCTTTTAAGCGTCTGGCCGAGCAGATGCGGGGAAGTGGCAAGCCCGGTCAGTGGAGCCTTCCAGCTCTTTATTTGCAGGAATTTCTGGCTTTGCTCATATATATACAATGCGTACCTTAGATTTTAAATTTTTTTTTTTTTTTTTCTCTCCTGACAGCTGGAAGTCTTTTCTTTGCTGATTATTCATTTCCACCTCCAGGAGCTGCTCACGCACGGGCTGAGTGCTGGTGCTGGGGTGAGACGTCTGCCCCAGGAGCGCGGCTTTCGGCAAACACACCTGGTCTGGCAGCTGGGGACTCCCACGTCGATGGCTTCGGTCCAACGGGCCGGTGTCCCTTGGGATGGCACGGGACGGATGAGGGAAGCCTGGCTGGGTGCTCCGGTTCAGGGCCAGGGGCGGGGGGGTTCAACAAGAGCCCCCCCTCCCCCCAAGCATCCCCTCCCACCAGCACAGGACAAGTTTACGAGCCTGGTGGAACCAAAAGTCCTTTTCCAACCCCAAAAGCCCTGCTTTTTTTCCAAAGAAAATAGATTGCGACGGAGAAATGCTTTTCGCAGAAAAGTTGCTGCTTCCTGTGAAAAACTTTATATCCCCATAAAAATACCCAAAGTCAACATTTTGCTTTGCCTCCAAATGTTTCTGGTTCTCCCAGGGCTGTTACGTTACTGGTTCCAGAATGAGAAAGCCACATTTTCTGGGACAGGTTTCAAGTTTTTTTGTTGTTTTTTTTTTTTGTTGTTGTTTGGGGTTTTTTTGTTTGTTTGTTTTGTTTTGTTTTTGTCTTGTTCCCGGGGAGGCACAGCAGTCCCTGGGCGGGGGTGATGCCAACCCTTCTATTTTCACTGCAGAGAAACACGCTGGTCTGCCATCCCAGAATCGTGGTGTGTGTTGTCCCTGCTTTCTGTCCCCAAAAAAAACACGGAAGGAACCTCCTCTGAAGAAACACCAAAGTCTTCATCCCGGCTTTGGAAATTTGGAGCCAGGAGCAGGCAGAGGCAGGCGGGGAGGCTGGCGGAGCATCGCTGCCTGCTAGGGGGGTCCTCACTCTTTTTGGGGCACAAGGCTGATCAAAGCGGCTACTCCAGCGCCGGTGGGAGTAGCCACGGTGGGATGTTTCTGCTTGGTGGCTCCTTGGGGAGCAAGGGGAGAGCCAGGTCCACTGATGGGCAGAGCCCCCCACCTTCCACAGAGCCACTACAGAGTCTGTCTGTCCACGGCCGTGAATACCTTGTGGTAGGGAGTTGGGGGATGTGACAACCTCGCTGGCAGAGGAATGAAGCTTGGGGTGAAATCCACAGCCTGGCCAGGGGAGAAACCCCAGGGGGGGGCGAAGGCATCGAGGCTGTGCGTTCCCTCCTGCCGCTTCTAAGGGGTTTTGGGGTGTCCCATCCAGAGCGATGCACCCCCTCCGTGAGGCTGGCATCCCCCGTCACCCCTTTTCCCAGCCTCCCATCCCTCTTCCCCCGTGTTCCCCGGGGGTGGAAATCTCCCCCGCGCGCCCACTCCCACGGGGCTCACCGGTGTGGATGCGGCCAGCCTGGTTTTCCAGCCAAAGTAGACGCAGAGGAGGGTGACGCAGGTCTGCGGCGCGATGAAGGTCAGCAGGACACCCAGGATCCCCCACGTCACGCGCTGGCGAGGAGACAGCGGGTGGGACCCCTGCATCTCCCCCCTTCCCCCCCCTCTTTTAGATTCCCGGCAGCATTGTGCCCTCTGTGTGTGTGCCTGCCCGCCCACCCTGTCCCACTGCTGCTGGGATGTGGGACCCCCCCGCTTCACCACCCCGCACCCTCACCAGCTCCAGCCGGGGCCCAGAGAAAGGTTTATGGTGGAAGCTGAGGTCCCAGAGCACCAGGATGGTGCCCACCACCGAGGCCAGCAGGCTGGTGACATTGAGGGCCAGGTAGCCGTTTATCTGTTGGGGACGGAGCCAGGCAGGTATCCCCCCCCCCAGGGCAGGCCAGCCCGAGTGATTTTTACACACACCCCCAGCCCTCGGGGGGGTCTAGCAAGCACAAGCAAGCCCCCCTGCTCTACAGACCCCACAGCCATCACATTCACCCCTGTGCCACATCCAGCTCCCCCGTACCATGGGACAAGCATCCTCCGGCAGCGGGGTGCCCAAACCAGCCCCCCAGCCCCAGTGAGCACCCACACCCAGGGACATTTTGGCACTTGTAGGAGTTGGGGTGCCAGGAACCAGCACCACTGCACCCCAGGAAAACACTGGGAGCTGAGACCTCTCCCCTTACCACGCAGACTCCCCGTTTCTTCTCTGCCACCACAGAGCTGGAGCTGATGAACTTTGGGGAAGAGGAGGAGGAAGGTGTGAAGAAGCAGGCACTGCCCCGAAACCAAGGGGAGGTTTAGGGGATCCCCTTACCAGGAAGCTTCCCCAGATGAAGTAGCAGGACCCGGCGATCAGCACCCGCAAGGATGGAGGAGATGAGGACCCCCCCCACAGCCCAGCTGGAGGATGCCCAGCAGGATTTGGATGCCCTGGGGAGCAGAGGGGCACAGGGCAGCCCGGCAGCAGCCACAGCCCTGGCACAGGGACACTGGAGGGTTGCTCGCCCTTACCCCCAGCACCCCCAGTGCATCTTTTGGGGGGGGGGGGGTGTGCGTGATCCCCACCAGCTTGCGGCCGCCAGCCCCTCGCACGGCCCTAGCATCATCGGGGGGGGTGGGGTGTGTGTGTGTAGGGGGGCAAGGTGTCAAAAGGGTCTCTGGGCACCATCCCCAGCGCGGCTACGGCATCCCAAGCGCTTGAAAGGGGAGGACAACCCAGTTGCACCGTCCCCTGCACACAGCACCGGGGTGATGTTTCAGGGTGTGTGTGTCCCCTTGCCCTCTTCAGCTCCATATCTCCCCATTTCCCTCATTTTTGGGGGTGCAGAGACCCCTCCTGCAGCCCGGCTCAGCCCACCGCTGGCTTGCTGCTACCCATCACACGAAGTCCGAGAACCACCACACGCTCTCCCAGCTCTCCTTCCCAGTCATCTTCTCCACCCTGAAGCCCCCTCTCCTGCTCAGCCCCCTCCCCAGGAATGCTCCTTGTCCTTCCCCACCCCTCCTCAGAGCCCCAGCGTCCTTCCACGACGTGGGACCCAGACCCGACATTTGGGGTGTGGGTGCTCCCCAGCTTTACCCAGGGATGTAAAGCTGCCCCGCTCCCCCCAACAGCTCCTCTCCCCCAAATCACCAGCATTTCGTGTGCCCCCCCCAGCTCACTGCCCTTTCCTCTGCCACCCCACACTGTGTCCCCAAGGGCGCTTTCTCTCTAAGTGGGGGGGGCTGCCAAGTGGAACCCCGTGGACCTTCAGCCCATGGCCACCCCTAGGAGCAGGCAGGGGAGCATCCCCCAGTGCCGTGGAGCAGACACACAGGAGCTCAGCCCTGTGCCCATGGGGGAGGGTGGCGGGGGGGGGTCTCCTGGGGGAACATCCACAGCTCCCAGGCATGGTCAAAGGGAGCCAGAGCTTTCCAAGCAGCGCCAGTGACACTGGGGGGCTCGTCCCGTGCTCCCCACTGCCTCCTCGGGGGTGGCTGCAGCAGACACCACAAAAATGAGCTGCCCCGAGACACTGAACCCCCCAGCCACCCTCCCCATCATGCGGTGCACAGCGTCTCACCCCCCAACCCCAGCCATGGGGCACTCACCGTGCCATTTCTCAGGGTTCCCGGCTCCCGTTCTCACCCCCGCTGGCTTTTGCCCCAGCGTTTCTTCTGCCCGAGTTGCCACCCTTTTTATGGCCCTTTGGTCACCGCCACCTTTCCCAGCTCACCGGCACTGGGGGTCCCCAAGCGGGTCCCTACTCATCACTCCAACTGGGTCCTCAGACCCTCTCTGGTTCCTGTCACCAGCTGTCCCCAAACCTGAGAGGTTCTCACTCCTCCCTGGAAGTTTCAGGGCTGCGAATGCATGGAAGCAGGCATATAGAAAAACGCATTTCCACAGAGCCTTAAAACGTCTATTCCTGCATTTCCAGAGAAAGCTGCGCTTAAACACGGCGAAGCGACAGCAAACCTGGGAAGCCTGGGGAAAGATAATCTGCGTTTAAAGTTTGAGGGGCTCTGGGTTATCGCTGTGCTAATGCCTGATTTCATGGAAAGGGGCGTTTTGGAGTTGGCAGAGGCAGCACAAGGCTGGCTCCGACCCAGCAGCAGCTCGGCCTGTGGCAGGGGGATGCTCTGGGGCAAAAAAGAGCCCAATGCTGGTGGAGGATGAGCAAGGAAGGGACCACTGTGGTGGCCAAAGACAGAGGGACCTGCTGGCCTGGTTGGAGGGGGGTGGCAGGGCTTTGTGGTAGCCCCCCGGGGCTGAAGAGCCTCCCCAGTTGTGAGAGAGGAGGTAGAGTAGGCTCCGGAGCCACAGGTGAGGAGCCAGAGCCATAATGGCTGTGGATGCAGGGTGAGCGGAGAGAGCCTGCTCATCCCGCTCCCCCAATCTCTGGGGCTTTTCCTACCGAACTGGCTCATTATTTTTTTAGAGCCAGGAACAGAAATAACCGACAGCGAGTGAATAATCCATGAGGTTTTGGCTGAGCATTGGCAGGGCAAGGGGAGGGGGGGGCGGGGGAGCTGTTGATACAAGAAAGAAAATATTTAACCCCAAAATAAAAAGATGGTTCCAACAGGCACTCCCTGCCCCTGCTGTGGGGCTGGAGGTGAGGTTTGGGGGCAGACCCTGTCCCCAAACAGTGGGAGGGGGTGCCCCAGGGAACAAGCGCAGACAGAGATCCCCCTCCTAGGGCAGAGATAACTCACCAAGGTGCTCCCACCCCTCTGAAAATCAGCACCGGGGTCTCCTTCCTCACCTCCCTACCAAGCTCTCCCTGAGCTCAAGTTGCTTCGTAGATAAACTCCTTCCATCAGTGCCAGATGCTCATCACCACCTTTGCTCCTCGTTAGGCTCTTGAGCATCCCCACTGCTGCCGGGTGCTTAACGATGGAACTCAGAAATGAGCTCGTCAGGAGCCGACAAACCTCTCTGCTGGTTAAAAATGGTCCAAGAGCCCTTTAGCTTCAATTCCTGCCCCGTGAATGAGTGATTTTTGAGGGACTGGAGCACTGGTGAGGTTTAGGAACGCTCATCAGGTCTCTTGGCTCCATTCCTGTCCCACAGGAGCAGCCAGCCCCGTTCATGGGAACGGGGAGCAAGTGCCACCAGTGTCCCCGTGTCACCCCAAGGAGCAGCCCCAGCCTGATGCAGTTCCTGGGCTGGTGTAAATGTGGAGCTGCTGCCGTCACCCTCATCGCCGCTGGCTGACCAGCTGCTCCAGCAGCGCTAGAGAGTTGTGCTGCTGTGTAGATAAAGGTGGTGGTGAGGATTTAGGGTGGCAGATTTCCTTAGTGGGGGGTGCAGGTACCAGGGCAGATCTTCAGTGGGACCAGATGAGGGTGATGGGAACAGGAGACCTCTGACCTGGGTGGGATGAGCCCCTTGCCCCAAGGACTATGGCTTAGGGAAGGTGGAAGAGGGAATTTGCAGCTCCAGCACTGAGAAATCCCCAAAATGAGGCGACGCAGGCCCAGACAGAGGGTTTATTTCAAAGATAAAATAAAGCCAAGGGGGGGTACAAGCCGAGGTAGATGGTCTGGCTACGCACACAGCTCCTGGCACTATAAGCCGCCTGCTACGTGGCCACCAGACCTCGAGAAGGTCCTGAACCCCGACAGGAATGAACCCTGGCACCCAACCAGGTATTTGTGGGCAGAAACACCCCATGAAGCCCCCACCCCTGCCAAGAAACCCCTTCTCCAAAGCAGCCAGCATGCAAAGAGCCTGCTCTGAAACCAAGCATGGGTCCAGGAGCTAGGGAGGGGGAAAATTGGGGGTGCTTGCTGGTTTTTGGGATGGGGTACCCGTGTAT